TAAAAGGGGCTCGGAACTCATTACATATATACTCTAGTCAGGATTAATGGTGTTGTTATCAATATATGATTTATTGGCAGGATTTAATAGATTCAATAAACTGGAAAATAGCAAAGAATAAGGATATTGTATCCGTCTCGTTTAGTATAACTGGGGCTCGGAACTCATTAGATATATACTCTAGTGAGGATTAATGGTGCTGTTATCAATATAAGATTTATTGGCAGGTTTAATAGATTCAATGAACTGGAAGATAGCAAAGTATAAGTATATTGTATCCGTCTCGTTTAGTATAACTGGGGCTCGGAACTCATTACATATATACTCTAATGAGGATTAATGGTGTTGTTATCAATATATGATTTATTGGCAGGTTTTAATAGATTCAATGAACTGGACAATGTATTATATTTTGATTGTAATACTGAGAACTTTAAAACGATGTCTGTACAGCAAGTAATTAAGAAAAATGAACGTAACACAAAAAAACTACTACATTTTACATTATTTTTGGGGAATTTCAACTGATATTGATTAAACAAATAAATGGCTTTACATGATGAAAATTCCTAGAAATGTACAATACCTAATAATGTCATGTTAGATGTCTCTATAAATCTGTTATAAAATTTTTTTTGTTATTTTTTCATTTTCCAGTTTTAAAGAGGAGTACTACCAGGTTAGGTGCCCTCGGCTTACAACCATACAAGTAGTGGCCATACGAAAGATGGGTCTCAAACATTCCAGCACATTCATAAACGCATACGCCTAATCAAGGTACAGAGTGACTGTCAGGTTGACTCAAACAATTTATATATAGGTATATGTATGTCACATGCATATTATAGATTAAATAAACATCGTATCTTCATGTTTTTACATCTATCATTTTCCTTACTTCATTTACCGGTCTGGGTTTTAATTATTAATATTTCTTATACATAAGATTCTCTTTTCTTTGGGTAAAAAAACTCTTTCTTACCTTCAAAGAATTACCAATTACTTTATGAGCATTTTAGTTAGAATATGAATAGCATTAATTAAATGTAAACGAATAAAAAGTCCTGTGAAATATTAGCTAAGAACAATGACACTTACTCAGTAAGTAGAATATCCCACTTTGCTCGGATAAAATTCCAGGCTAGGTCTCGTCCTATAGAGTGACCAGACACGTATCTAATGACGTAACCTGCGTCCTGCTTTTTGACCTCTGCCCCATCCAAACTCATTTCGAGATATCTGGTAACAGAATGTCACTATTAGGAGTCATGAGTGTACATTGTATTTGGGTATGAAGCAGGTATTTCAACTATTTTTTCAGTTACTGTTATATACATAAATAACTATTTACATAGATATCATCAGGTGAAAAATACTTTACACGTTATTACAACACAATGCGCGATATAGGAAATAAACTTTCAATAATATTCTTAACAACAACAATTGTTTTATAACCAGACTGACTTGCTGAGTATCCACGGTTCCTTGGAACACGACAATGAGTAGAGGATGCGCTTCTTCTCGGCGGCGTTGTTGCTCGTCTTGTACTGACTGTAGAGGAAATCCCACTCCAGGGCCCCGCCCTTCGCGATACCCGTACAGTACACTGCCTGTTTTACGTCAGGGTCGATCCTGAGGAATAAAGCAACATGTCTTCATACACCGTGTGTACTAATGGTAAAGCAAACAAAATTATAATAAAAATAGCAATTATCTAAACGGAAAATGTGCATTTAAAGATGACTTTTAGCATCTTAAAAATAGAACAAAAATAGCAAAATGATGTAACGAATACACTGACGTTAAGCAGCGTTTGAACTTACACCTTTTTCACCTTCTGTAATGAGTGTGCATTAAGTAAGACAGCTAATGGTAGTACACGACGTACCGTACACAGAAATTACAGGAAAACGGCAAAATTAACACTGGGCTAATATGGATGTAACCGGTGAAGGGTGAATATTTAATGTCACAAATAAATACAATGTTTGACCTGACGAAAGGTTCGAGATGCACAGTATTTACGGTATTACAGGAGTTGTCCACTTACCGTAATTACCCACGTTTGTATCATCTTTTACCCTTCTTACTTGTTATTGCCGGAGTCGACCATCCACTCTTGGAACATGTCTGTAGCTGTCTCAACACACCCCTCTATCCCGTACCCACACGCCTGACTCGACATCGAGATACGCAGCATTCTGTGTATAAGCAGAGGTGAAGCATGTTACATGTATGCTCACAAAAAGGCAAATTATATTGCTGACATCATGATTTCATTGGGATATATTCTAAACAAAAACAAAACGGACCTTAACTAACATCTTCACGCTTAATCGAGGAAACGCCTCATGTTTACATATACGGGGTTTGGTTTTGACAACAACGAGACCAACTTGATGATATGATAGAAATATATATATACTTACCTCTCCAGATGTCCATCAGTTTTCTTCTGATTAAGTCCGACGCTTTCAAACGGCTTGGAGATCAGATTCCGTATAGCTGTTGTATAATCCCCATACAGCTCCGTTCTCATCAGCATAGAATCAGTATAGCCCAGCTGGACAAGTGCAGCATGCCAGGGGACGTAATCCATCTCGTCTTGTAGATAATCTATCATATTTAATGCGATCTTCAGGGATACTTCGCCAGCACTGAAAGTTTAAAAATACATATACATTATTAAGTGTTATTACTTCACGAATATTTGTAAAGAAAGAATCTCAACCAGGTTAATGTAAAATTATGTCTTCTTTCTCATTATGCGAAATCAAAAATTCTTTGAAGCATTTCCTCGGAAATAAGTATTCGCCAAAAATAAAATATTTTACATAATTTTAATTTTTCCTTTCACTTTAATAACATATTAAGTGGTAAGTATTGCAATATAATTTTTGTGAATATCATAACATAGACTATTGTTTTTATCACTTAAATTCTTTTTCATTTAATTACTTTATTAATCTATGAATTTCTCAACTACAATTTGCATAGAAAATTTAACAATATATAGACAAAGCATGTACTTTATATGTGAATTATTTGTGTTTACATTTAATACTATTTATCCGTGGATTTAGTATTAAATTGTGTTAACGTTTCATATTATATGCCCATGGAAATCTTGATTTATTTATTGTAGGTCAAAGGTCAACAACATAGTCAACAATCACTCACTTGGCCAGGTTCCACGCATCATTGATTAGCTGTCCTCTGTTTATAGTGTGAATTACCTACCAAGGGTGATAACACGTAATTGAAATATGTATTAAAGTAAAATATTAATCAAGATGAATATATTTAACGTATACATGATGTGAGTTGTATACGCATTCCAATGAAGGTGACACAGTACATTCCGTAAATTTATCTAAATATCACACGTAAGCATATTACTGGCTGTAATACATAAACATTCCTACAGTTAATATTTACGAACCTGAAGAACATGCCTGCTATAGTATAAGCGCATATGAAATGCTTCAATAATAACTCACTGCAATGGTTAGGTATTTTTTTCGACTAAACAGAAATACAATGCTGTTTTACAACTATAATCGATCGTTAAACTTCAAACTTAATTGTTGTGAAAAGATCCTACTTTGCACACACTTTGTTTGTATGCATTGTTCTCTCAAAGCAGTATCGAAAGCACTGTAATATACATTTACCTTGTGGTCTGTTTTTAGTTGATTTGTCAACGAACCCCAATTGCTTTCTTCATAATTAACTCTGTAATATCCATACTGCTGAACATTAGCTATGAACCAGTCTCCATCTTTCATAGGCGTTTTTAGTGTTATCACTGAAAGTAAATACACGTTAAGTAAATAGGATATTAGCTGAAGACACGGTTGTCCCCTTGGCTGACAGTACGAAGTGGGTAATAATCTGGTCGGACCTCTGGTATATTTTCATATTTTTCCGCACAGAATATATTTCATTTCATATCGACACATAAGACGATACTAAAACTATATCTTTTTGAGGAATCAGTCCAGCTGATGAAACTCTTGATATTCTTCGGTGTTATATTTTTCTCGAATGACGTGTTAAAACAGTATCATCAAAACTCGAATGAGATAGAAATTGACACAAACAGGAACTAAAAGCAACATATCTGAATTTGTGACCGTCCTCTTTTGTCAAATTCAGAAAAGTAGGTCAATTATTGATGAACGTAGAACAGTTAAGAAAAAGAAAACTTCAAATTAATTATAATGATAAAAATGAGCTTTTATAAATATGTCCGTTCTATGACACTCACCGTCCTCTTTGTTGTTATGCCAGTAAGTATCCGTGTGATTGAAGGTGGCGTTTGATTTGTAGGTCACTGTTATAGGAACTCTCCATGTATAACTAATAACGAGTAAGACAAGTAAGTTGACATCAACAATCCGCTAAGTTGTTCGTTTTCATATTGTCACTATGACACTGATATTGATTTATCTATCGTCTGGATATCATGTTAATTACACAGTTTTTTGTTTGTTTAAAAGATTAACATGTAGTTCTTATTACGACCATCATCGTCCTCCTAATACAAGTTAGGAGGTCGATGATGGTCGTAATAAGTACTACATGTTAATCATTTGACGCTATTAGTAAACAGGAACAGAGCGGCGAATAAGTCACTGTCGACAATAGGTACTACGGGCAGACAACTCCATGTTTATAAAAATAAACTATGAGTATAAATTTATTGATGGTATTACAGGAGAATTATATTGACAGTTTTACAAATCAATAACAGTTAACATGTAAAGGAAGAAAAAAACGTCATTTAAAAATAAGTAAATTAGAGTGCACAATGTGATGTGAGTGGAGAGGAATCACCAATTGTTTATATTACAATTAAGAGGAGATAATTAGTTATATTGTCTATATTATGGTTGAGACGGAACACATATATGATCGTCTATACTAAATTGTAATGGGAGATAAAGCACGAGTACTTTTCACAAACTTCTAAGGAGAGACAAATAATTTTGACTGCTTGTACGTACTTGTAAGGGGAGACAAATCTGCCCGGGTCTGTGGCATTAGGATTGGTAAGAAAGCGCTTCTGATTGGCCCGCAGCTCTGTGTTGCTGACCTTACTAAGGGTCACGACGGGGTAGTTCATTTGAAGAATCCACGTGTTCATAATGTTTTTCACCTCAAGGCTGCGTCCTTCAGATTGTATTTGCTAAATCAGCAAAAAACACACAATAAATATCTAAGTATAGTTTTTCTAATAATCAATGCCGATTCATTTAGAAATAATTTTTTCACAAAAAATAGGGGGTAAGAATAAACTCACCAAGCCCGTAACGGACTAGATTCAAAATTGTCTTTTTTAGTTTTTATCTGTAACTATTTCGTTTGAAAGAAACTCAATTTCGTTTTATCGAATTGATATTTTATAACATATTTTTGTCGGGTTTTAAATGGTGATTGCTGGCGATGAACAAGAAGGTGCTTACCGTTCCGGACCGGAACACCTAGTGTTATTATCCTTGTAGGTATCCATGTAAATCTTTCGTTTAATCAAATTGTTTTATCGCTTTGAGTTTGAATAATTGTTTTGTTGACACTTCGGTATTCTCTTGTTTTTGTTTGTTTGTTTGTTAATAAATTTCCCTTTTTTAATATAATCTTATCTACTATGCGTAATAAACAAACATAATAAAATGTGTATGATACGAACCTCTTCCATCGCTGCCCATAGGTCGTTATGATCGGCATTTTTGTATTCTCTCTGCTTTAGATATCTCTGTAACATTATCATTAGACATTTAGGTGTGTAATATTATGGAAACGTCACATTTGTTCATTCCTTTTGAAGTAAAAAAAAAACCCACAAGGATATTAGATATTGAAACTTCCTCCGTTACAAATCAAAAGAAGAAAATAAGACAATGCCTAAGCCTTAATGCAAAATATGCCACGTCTTCACATTCACACAAAAAAAATATATATACCACAACGACAACACGCATAAAAATATTAGCAAAGTAGCCAAAGAAACGGACAAAAAGACAGCATATATCACAGCGTAAACACACAACAACAATATTTTGTAGTTTATATTACAGATTATGGAAACTGGTTCTAGAATACGAATAAGCATTTGTTATTAAATACGACGAAGAGTAAATTCCATTATGTATTCAAAGTATCACAGTCAAAACCACAACAAAATTTAAAACTGTCTGTTTAATTCAAACTATACTATAACTTTACGCAAACACTGTAAAGGAACGTATGCAACAGTACTGTACCTGTATTCCTAGCTGGAAGGATGTTTCCCCGACAAAGAACCGCATCATCCTGATCACACTAGCGCCCTTAAACAAACAAAAATCATCTTGTATGTTTAACAACTTAGATTCCTACTAAATGGTATAGTGTTTAAGTAGAGTGAATGACAATTGCGCAATAACCTTATAAATTTATCTTATAAATCGAACCAGTGGAAAGGGAAATGATTAAAATATAGTTCATCGTTGAAAGAAGGGGACAAGGCTACGTATGTTTATAGAATCATAAATCAGGAAACCTAACACAAAAACTAATCTAACTACATAATATGATATATCAGGATAAATGTAATAAAAAAAATAGTTTAACATAACACCCAACACATCATTATATGACATCAACTCATTATAAAAAATGTCACATGAACATCAATACTTTCGATATGATGTCAATTTTATAATAAATGTAAACAATATTATATAAAGAGAAACCACAGACCTTTGAGTAGGATATTGCGTCGAACACTTCATTGATCTGGGCGGGGTTAGCTACCGGAGCAAACAACGGATGTGACGTCACGAGGGCATCAAAATCAAACGCGCGTTGCACTTGCTCGATAGTAAAGATATCAAACTGCAACAGGAAGAAACAAAGAAATATAACCAATGACAAAATCGTTTTATAGAATGCATTGTTTGAAAAGATTTTATTATATTTTCAAAAATCTAATACATTTAGATATATATGCAGATACAACTGAATTTTGACATTGAACAACAGTTGAATTGCGATGTAGTTCTGTTATGTATCATACCATATTGAACATGACAACATTTGAACACGATATATACAGTAAGGTCTGTCCAGTTATAATACATACGTATGTCCAGTCCGGAAACTTGTGGTCGGCTCCAAAGTATTCCACAAAGGTCGCGAACCCTTCATTGAGCCAGAGGTCATCCCACCAATCCAAGGTCACCAGGTTTCCAAACCACTGAAATAAAGCAATGTAAGACGAGTCGTCAAGTATAACTATTATGTAATGTGTTGACTGATTTGTAGACGACACGTACAGATGTTTAGTTCACATATTGTCTGATATTCAAATGTTAATAATAAAATATAAATTAACTTTGATTTAAAACAGTTACAAAGTTCTTGTTGTCATCCGTAAATGTATGATACGTACGCGGCGTTTTACCCGATTAAAATGCTTGTTTTATGTAGTCATCATTAAAACCACCTTCAAAAATCAAGGCTTCCATGGGATATAACCTAATATTATTTACCTGGTGAGCGAGCTCGTGCGTGATGACGGTGGTGACGCGTTGTTTGTTGGACTCTGACGACACGCCTGGTTCATACAACATGGCTGTCTCCCTGTACGTAATTAGTCCCCAGTTCTCCATGGCGCCGGCCGCGAAATCAGGGATGGCGATCATTTCTGAGCAAAGTATATCAGAAGCAATACTATCAAAACATGGTTGAAAAAGAGGACACCAACCAAAGTATTTATAAATATTGAACAGTTCTTGAAGGGACCGTTCAAAATAACGAATCGATCATTCAAACTATTAACCGTATGACATATTATATACTCGTCACAAGTTTGTACTAATTAACTTTTAAAACATATTGCTTTACTCTACAACAAACTCACGGCCTAATTTGCTTTTCTACAAAAATATTAAATTCTTTCCTGTGCTCACCTTGCTTCTTGAGTGGAAACTTTATATCAAAATATTCCTCGTATAGAGTAATGGTATCGATACCGACATCGAGTGCGAACTCCGCCTGGTTAATCATCTCTTTTGGAGCGAGCGCCCCATACTGAGGGTCAAAGAGTTATCAAATGAGGTTACTATAGTACCTTTTATATGTATAAGGTTTTATGTAATTCAGCATGGCTACATAACGTATTGCTTTATGCCAACCGCAATTAAAGATCAGACTATACTTGTTAATACTTCTGCTACTTGGTCGTATTATCGTGTTAGCTGTACACTTTAACAGGACTTTATAAAATTGTTACATCACGGATGTAGTAAACTGGGTGGTGAACTCTTGTAATTATAAAACAAATGTCAATTTGTTACTTTGGAATCGCGTATAACTGTAGAAAGTGCATTAATATTCTAAATCAATAAATTTTGTCCTCGAAACTATTACATTTTGTCAAAACCACCTTTATACTGTTTGTATAAGATAGCTAATGTAAATAAGAAATAATTTCAATCTTCCGTTAATGTAATTCCGGCAATAACACATACAATTCTCGTTGTTTCGGTAACATATCCTTAAGGACGTTGCTGATTACAGGTCAGATCCAGATCAGTTAGATAAAATTTGTCGTTGTACCGGTAACATTACTTACTTCATAACTCTACCTACATATATACATTGATTTCGTTGTACCATTAATATTTGTAACTTACATAAATACCATTTTTCGTTGTACCATTTATATGAGCAAAGTCACAGACGACAAAGGCTACGAGGTACGTGGACATGATCGGTGATACATTATAGTGATCAGCCATGAAGCCTGGCTGCCTGGAATAGTAAAAAAAAATATCACCATTTAGGTTGAAATAACCATCGTTTCGGTCATTAGAGTTTGGTTTGGTTTAATTTTGTTTAACGTCCTATTAACAGCTATGGTCATTTCGGTCATTAGAGAGTTACAGTGCAATACTTCCCCTGTTCGTGTATAAAAAACAACTAATGTTATACGAAGACGATTTGCCCGGACAATGACTTCAATCACTTGTCATCTCACTGAAATTATCTGGACAAGGAAACATGTCAATCTCCCACACTTTATTTCGACAAAAGCTTATCAAATGTGACATCTTTAAATCAGAGGTAAAACAGAACCAACCGTCTCCTTATTTCTCATTAGAGGTGAAATATAACCAACCGTCTCTTTACCTCTATCGTTAACACATCCTCACTACTACCCACATCCTCACTACCACCCACATCCTCACTACCACCCACATCCTCACTACCACACACATCCACACTACCCCCCACACCCTCACTACCACCAACATCCTCACTACCACCCACATCCTTACTACCACCCACATCCTCACTACCACGCACATCCTCACTACCACACACATCCACACTACCCCCCACACCCTCACTACCACACACATCCACACTACCCCCCACACCCTCACTACCACCCACACCCTCACTACAACACACATCCTCACTACCACCCACACACTCACTACCCCCCACACACTCACTACCACCCACACCTTCACTACCCCCCACATCCTCACTACCCTCACTACCACCCACATCCTTACTACCACCCACATCCTCACTACCACCCTCATCCGCACTACCACACACATCCACACTACCCCCCACACCCTCACTACCACCCACACCCCCACTACCACCCGCATCCTCACTACCACCCACATCCTCCTCACTACCACCCACACCCTCACTCCCACCCACATCCTCACTACCACCCACTTTCTCAATGCCCCCGCGACCACCGACATCCTCACTACCACCCACATCTTCACTAGCGCCCACACCCTCACTACCACCCACACCCTGACTACCACCCACACCCTCACTACCATCCACACCCTCACTACCACACACATCCTCACTCCCACCCACACCCTCACTACCACCCACACCCTCACTCCCACCCACATCCTCACTTCCACCCACATCCTCTCTACCCTCACTACCACCCACATCCTCGCTACCACCCACACCCTCACTACCACACACATCCACCCTACCACCCCCACCCTCCCAACCACCCACACCCTTACTACCACCCATATCCTCACTATCCCCCACATCCTCGCTACCACCCACACCCTCACTACCCCCCGCATCCTCACTACCACCCACATCCTCACTACCACCCACATCCACACTACAACCCACATCCTCACTACCACCCACATCCTCACTACCACCCACACCCTCACTACCACACACATCCTCACTACCCCCCACACCCTCACTACCACCCACACCCTCACTCCCACCCACATCCTCACTACCACCCACATCCTCCCTACCACCCACACCCTCACTACCACCCACACCCTCACTACCACCCACATTCTCACTACCACCCACACCCTCACCCTCACACATCCTCACTACCACCTACATCCTAACTACCACCCACACCCTCACTACCACCCGCACCCTGACCCGAACCCTGCAGAAGCTATGAAAGTATTCCAAACGTAGTTGTTATGTTTGTATCTGCATTTTTTCTCATATAATATCTTACTTATATCCTTGCTTTCACTCTTACACCCTATCCTCATCCCAAACCCATCCTATCCCCTTCCCACAGAATGTTTTGAAGTATGCTTATCGGGTTTCGATTCCTGGCCATGTTTCATTATAGGATTATAATCTAATCTTACTTGTAACAACCATTTCCATTGGCTTAAAAATGTATGTTATCAGCCCATAACGTAAAAAGTGACATTGCCGTTTGTAACGGCGATTGTGATTGACTGATACAGCAGCGCGATAACTTCTAAGAGAAAAGAGGCCATCAATAAAAGTGGATTTCCATAGGGATTGTGTATAGAAGATTAAATTATTAGGATTAACTTGAACATATTTTTCATGTTTACACCTACCTCCTTTTAACCCATCCTTACCACCATCCCCATCCCCGGACTCAACCCTCAGAATAAAAGCAACTACACTTACCATGGTTCTGATTCTTGAACCTTCCACCTTTCACCCAACCCTGACCACCATCCCCATCCCCGAACCAACATAATGTTAGAAAGTATACTAACCGTGTTTCTGAAGTCTGTATCTGCATGTTTGACAGTGAGATAAGTTCCTGTTTCCTGATCACAGTCAGTTTGAATTGCGCCTTCATGTTTGGCTCGTCAAAACAGGGAAACGTCTTTCTGGCGTCTGTGGGTTCCAACTGTGTCGTTGCCATATATCTAGTAAAATAATTATTTGTTTATATACCTTGGATAAAAGCTCACTTTATAATATACAATGATATATAACCAAACAGAAATACCTATATTATGAAAATAATGCTATCAATAAGTTCGTTGCTATATTAAATATATATACATACAATAGCTACTTACATTGCAAACTGTTATATACCTATACTAGGTTTGTCATCAAGTCCTTACCGACAACCTGTTTATTAATAGTCTCACTATCGCGTGTGATAGATGTTTTTATATATGAACAGATCAAATATTTTTAATTCCAAGAATGATGAAGCAAGTATTGTTCAAGTTCAGATTTTAATAAAAGCGAAATTAAATATCACGACAGCAACAGAGTGGTGGTAAATGGATGTACACGAAATGTTCAGTCGAGCATCAGTTTCAGCATCGAGAAGGTCAACAGCTGTTTCGTTTTGATTTCAACTTTTCAGATCTCACTAAATAGTCTATTTTGAACTGTTAATCCGATTAAAATACATATATTGGTTTCCATAGAAAGGTAAATGCTCTGCACGATATATTTGTGTTGCAGTTATGTAAGATGAGAATAATGAAAAGCTACTTACACTGTCTCACCCCCTCGCTGATAAGAACTATAATATAATCCGACCATATCATCCGCCAGGGGTCCAGCATAAGTCATCTCGATCGTATAATTAACCAAACTCAGTAGATCAGTCTCCAGGTTTAATATTAGAAACTGTCTCTCTTCATCGTGGGTTACTTTAACAATAGCCGGAACAGCATCTCCGGAGACCGCCTCTAATTTTATATTGCTCTCATCCACGGTTAGCTTATTGATATGCAATGTTATGTTTTTTGTGGCTTCCATACACGAAATATGAATTTTTACGGTGCCATTGAAGGTGAAATCTTTTGGATCCGGTTTGTAAAAGTCGGGGAAGATTTCCAGTTCGTATAACGATGGTAATACTGATCTCGGGAGTCGGACGTCCTGGACAGAAGTCTTCGTTCCTGTGCCTATCACTTTGCCCAGCCAGGATTTCAGGATATCATAGTTGCGCTTCATCCAGCGGACATTGCCCTCCGTTTTCTCTATTGACTGTTCAAACGCTCGCGTGCCGGACCCCATATCTGGGTGTGCCGACTGGAACGTTTTTATCTAAAAATTAACCATACTTTTGTTACTATACACATGTATGATAGGTCATGGGTCCGTTGTTCATATCATTGTTAGCTTAACGAGTCGCTAAACCATTTTGTTTGTCGTGCTTTCAACAATTTGATGAAAAGATCGAAAGCGAAAAATATTTATATAAGTAATTGAAAGCGTTGAATAGGCAAATGGAAAACTCCAACAAAACTTTTTTTTTCAATTGCGGGCAGATGAATTGAAATAATAATAACAATAGGAATAAGATCCAATGATTACCTGTTCTAGGTCCAGGTCTGTATTAAAGGACGCTAGTGCTGCGCTGATCATGTGGCTAAATGAAAACGTCCCAGATCCGTATCTTTCCAAAACATAAATACAAACCATCATATTAAAAACACGGTAAATGAACATAGTTACACACGCACGTGACACAAGACCATATCAAAGGCAAGCCATACTAAACTAGTGAAACACGTGACACGAGACTATATGAAAGATATATAAAAATAGTGCAGCACAGTGTGGTCCGCGTTACAACGATAAGCATTTCTCTGATAACAGATTGGCAGGTATGTACGATAGTGGACAAGTTTACATAGTTGTTTTGATTGTGAGAGAACTAGGTACAGGATGCTGTAGGCCGGGATAGATTCGCTGTAGTTTTAATTTCGCCTTTTTCGCTCTCGGCTAATAAAGACTAAGTTATCATAATAATATACAACAATTATATAGCGCCATATATAATTTGAAAAATAACTCTAAAGCGCTTTAAATGACAGCGAATATAAGTAAACAGAAAAAGCGTATATGGATATCACATAGCGAAATTAACACTGGGTAAATATTCCGTCTTTGCGTATTGCAAAGTTATCTTCTCTTGGGAGCAGGTATTGATTGTAACGTCACTTGTTTGTGAGAGTAACGTCATCAAGTTTTGAGAAAACGACGTAATTTTCTCACACAAACCAATGACGTAACAATCAATCCCTGCTCACAAGAGAAGATAACTCTGCAATACGCAAAGACGGAATAACTATTACCGATGAGTGTCGAACGTTTCCAGATATACATTAGTCTGTCTAAACCATATTCTCTCAAACCAGGATCCCTCTCTATGACATGTTGTGCCGCGTTATCTCTTTAAATATAATTTGATAACCTTATCTAATACGGACCCTGTCTACAGTGAAAACCATCATTGTGTTACCGATACGCTTTATAATAACATTATATAAATATGACATTCATTAGCTTCGCCTCGGGTGACAATGGTTTTCTCGGGTTGACAATATTCACTGTCACCTGCTAATGAATGTCATATTTATTTTGTTACACCAAAAGTCTTTGTAGCTCAGAAACGGCAGCAAACCTTGATAATGACATCTTGTTTGTTGATAGTCTGCTGTTTACAATCGCTATCGCACCGGCGCTTCAAGAAATTGGCTGTTGCCGTCAAACGTTCTTGTGACCATCACGGTGGGGAAACGAAGCGGTGCACGCACATTTTTTGCGCATGTGATATTTTTCACTGTCTCATGGCAATATCACCCGCGCCCCTTTAAACCAATGTATTTTCGGAGGGTGACAGAGATTTTTGTTTAATTTTCTCCCAACCAATCAAATAGCTAGAAATTCACTCGAGGTGTAACAAACATAAATATTATATATATAACAACAATGAAAGTGAATTCTAACTGAATGTAGTTCAGTGTTTCGTCCAATTTAAACGTTCATGAACGCCAAACATTGCGTTTACATGAAATGTTTTGCCAAGATGACCTGTTTATGATAGAACATTTTTTGGAATTGCTTTAAAAACCAAATATATTCTCGTTCTTTATAGAAAAAAATTGACCTCGTACCAAGATATACCAACCTTTCCATAAATATCGACCAATTTTCTTGCATGAAACTCCAAGTAAGATCTCTTCCAATTGGATTTCCACTGACGTATCTTATGACGTAATCAGCGTCTTGCTTACGTACCTCATTAGGCTCTAAGGACATTGCCAGGTATCTAGAATGAAAATGAATGATATCAACCATTACAGGATCTCAAATACAATGCCTTTTACCCAGACAGCCGGTGTCCGATTCTCCAATCGGAAGTGAAGAAGTACGGGGTCAACTGCCAGACCACATGGGTTTATCCGGATACTCCGGTGTCTGCCACATTAATACCCCGCGTTTCTATCTGAACATATAAGACTGATATCAGTTGGAAACAAAAATGTCTCATAGTTGTTATAAAATAGTTGAACAAAAAGTTGATATTGCAATACTTGCAAATCATTTCAAAGGTGTTATAAGTAAACGTTACCAATGAGTACAGACTATTCAATACAACGAACCTTTAACAATCTTACTCGGGGTCAGTACCACGCATGTTTACACTGTTACCTGCTAAGAATCCAGGGCTGCTGACTACATCCGAGGGCATACAACATCATAATCCGTTCATTGGCCACGATGGACTGTTTGTACTGCGAGTAAAGGAAGTCCCATTCGTCAGCCCCGCCCTCACTAATACCACCACACAGCACGGACCTCTTCACGTCCGGGTCAATCCTACACAGTTATAAAATAAATTATAAAATCCTTGGGATATCAATTAAATTTTAAGGCAACTTACTGATCCATTGAGTGGTGTCATACTAAGTTGTTTAGCTGATCCATGGGTTGATTGGTTAATTGATTAAAGATTCTGCGATTCGTGGGATTTTTATTCGATGAAATTTGTTCGATACATCAATTTGTCAATTGATTTATTAATTTGATAGTTCTGCTGGGGGTAAGTCAGAACTTGATTCCTGTATCTATTGATTTCATTATCACATTAGTTATTGTTTGGACATTTTTCCGTATATTGCAATTTGAATGAGTTTTAAAAAAGAAATTATAACTGCGATAGAATATCAAAATATAAATATTCGTTTATGCAATCTTTACTCCCTAAGGAAAAAGAGAGAAGGCTGACATATCGTCGATATATAAATGGCAAATTACGAACTCAACGCTTACTAGGAAGACAAGAACTGGGTCTACACGAAAATCAAAATAATTATATCGTGAAGAAGAAAAAGGAAACCATGTGCTCCTGACATGAAAAGTTTTAAATTCTGATAAACTTCTTTCTCCATTTAATTTTGCATCTGTTATTTACTTGTTATTTAACTTTTTATCATTGCAAGCTTACATATTTATATCGGGTCGGTCCTTCCAGTCCTGGAACCTTTGACTCGCCTCCTCTTGGCAGTCCGTCACCTCGTTACCACAAGCTATCGACACGATAATAGACCGCGCCTTGCTATAAAGGGAACGTTCACAGAACGTTAAGATACAAGTGGGAAAAATAATGGTTTCCCTAAATTCCAATCACAGGTAATCTAGCAAGAGTTAACACGTCGCGCGTGCTTAATAATTTCAGAATCACCTTACCTAAAAGGATATACTAATCCTTTTTTTTTGGTTGCAACGTTTTTAAAAATAAATTAATTTAAATTAAAGTAATTGTTAATCTTCTCATGCTTCTAACAATCGATATCGGTGTTTCTAAAATATATTTCAACATTTAAAACATTTAAGACGCTTACCTTTCCATATGCCCTGAATTTGTGTTGTCCAGTCCCAGTTTCATAAATGGTTTCTCTATGATTTTGTGCATGAATTTCTGTAATGGAATTAACATCGCATGCATATTTGGGGAATTGTTCTTACTTTTTCCGTTGCCCGTTTTCGCATAATTTCAAAAAACAAAAGTGCAGGAAATCGGTTCTAAAAAACCCAAATGTTTTTGCCGGCTTTGAAGTATATGTTGATTTATTTGGTTGTGAAACAAAAATGTTCACTTTTTAGTTTAACTTTCTTTGACTTTATTACAAAAATTGTCCTTTTTATGTAAATAGTTATATCATCTACATTATTTACTGTTTTATTGTATTTTGTTGGTATTGTTAAGTTTTATTATATATCAATGAGAGTAATTTAAGGATGGTTTTGAATTTGCAAAGTAGACATACAGAACAAAAGCGAAAATTGATGTGACTTCGATTGATTTCAAAGAAAATGAGTAAAAATTTCACCTTAAACTGTCCGTACAGTGGAGTTCGAACCAGCATCTCCTCCACATAGGAGAGTTCGCCTATAGCTGCTGACCAGGGGACGTAATCCAGTTCGTTACCGAGATACTCCATGGTGTCAAGAGCAATAGTTAGATCTAGGTCGCCAGATCTTTTATAAAAAAAAAACATTGTTATTTTTTAATGCAATAATAATTCTTAATGTATATAGGTTTTAAAAACTTGCTAATTGAGATTCCATTGATCCTAAACAATGTGTTGAACAATGACCACAATCATCTGAAAATATCATTTCGAGTGGTTTTCAAAACTCAATGAAATAATTGCAAAATTCAATTAAATTTACTAAACAACAATTACTTTCTGTGGAATTAACGAATCAAGATAAAATGTTACGAAACATATCCTATGATAACTCATATTAATGTGTTGTGACTTAATAGCTGACACTAATAGAACAATGTTTGGAGACACCGCTATATTCGATTAAATCATCGATATCATTGTTGTACTCACTTTGCTAGTGCCCAGGCATCGTTGATAATTTGGGCTCTGTTGGTGACGTGGATAACCTGAAAACAACATAAAATTGCAGGAAAAAGGAAATATATCCGTAGCCACATAATTATATTAGTTAAAAGATTCTTTTTAGAATTCATTTCTTGTTCGGTTTGGTTAAGTATTGTTAAACGTCCTATTAACAGCTATGGTCATTTTAGGGACGGCCTCCCCTGTGTTCTTGTAATGGTACCGCAAATCAAACAGAAGAGAAAATAAAAGACGATAATTAACAAATAGCAAGCGTGGAAATACATCAATAAGATCGGAGGAAACATAGAACCAGAACACAAGCCATCACGAACCTTTACACACACGGAGGTGAGAGCACGTGAGCTGAGAGGTTACGGATCCCCGACCACTAACACAAGCTTGAATAAGAAACTATTTTGACCTGTATGAAAAAAGCTAGCTTTGACAATTACTTCTGAAAAAACCCCAATACTTTTCCGTATTTTGGAATTTTATGGAAACATTATAAAGACCAATTTACAAAAACAAAAGACAAAAGTGTTCTGAAAGAAAAACATGCGACACAGCGAGACCTGGATTCGAACCTTGAAACTCCTATCACAATTCTTTCATTGACAAGTACAACTACAGTAATACCTATAACGAAATTAAGAAGAAGTTATTATACCTAAGAAAGCTACACTGGAGTTCTTGGTGTTTTGCAAGTACTCGGGCAGCGATCCTTAAATAGGATACTTAGTACATGAACCTTACATAATACATATATTTTACATAATGAGAATAAACCAACTTCTGATGCTACATGTGTATGTACAAACCGTGTGATGCTACATGTGTATGTACACACCGTGTGATGCTACATGTGTATGAACAAACCGTGTGGTCGGTCTTGATTGTTACATATGTATGTACAAACCGTGTGATCGGTCTTGAGTTGTTCGATAAGAGACCTCCAGTTCTGTGTATCGTAATTGACCCGATAGTAACCGTACTGCATCACGTTAGCCAGAACCCATCCGTTATCTGGCAGTGTAGAGTCTAGCGACATCTCTGTTTAGTAAGACATAGAACATAATATATTACAGCTGTAACATACTGGACAACATCGTGATCTAGATCGGGTAACGTGTATAAATATGGGTAAAAAAAACCAATTATTTTATTTAAAACGATTTTTCCATTTGCGAACTCAATTCAAGGCTAATGAACCTTTGAAAGAATAAGCAAGCTTGAAAATTAGTATACGCAATAGTTAAAATGGTTTAAATTATTTATTTTAAAATATCAAAATTTACATACAAAATACTAATATTACTTGAAAATACAATACACCAAATATCAAATAGTTGCGTATACATTTAATGACTTTTATGTTATTTAACTTATCAAACATAAGTGACAGTATAAACGAAGCTGTCAACAACTACTTTAACTGTAAGGGTGCGGGAACAGGGGCTAGATATGTGATGTGTGATCAACTGTATCACACGCTAGGGCTGTAAGGGTGCGGGAGCTAGATATGTGGTATGCGATCAACTGTAGCACACGCTAGGGCTGTAAGTGTGCGGGAGCTAGATATGTGGTGTGTGATCAACTGTAGCACACGCTAGGGCTGTAAGGGAGCAGGGGCTAGATATGTGGTATGGGATCAACTGTAGCACACGCTAGGGCTGTAAGGATGCGGGAGCTAGATATGTGGTATGTGATCAACTGTAGCACTACTTTAACTGTAAGGGTGTGGGAGCTAGATATGTGGTATGGGATCAACTGTAGCACACGCTAGGGCTGTAAGGATGCGGGAGCTACATATGTGGTATGTGATCAACTGTAGCACTACTTTAACGGTAAGGGTGTGGGAGCTAGATATGTGGTATGCGATCAACTGTAGCACCCGCTAGGGCTGTAAGGGTGCGGGAGCTAGATATCTGTAGCACTACTTTAACTGTAAGGGTGTGGCAGCTAGATATGTGGTATGGGATCAACTGTAGCACCCGCTAGGGATGTAAGGGTGCGGGAGCTAGATATGTGGTATGTAGATATGTGGTATGTGATCAACTGTAGGACACACTAGGGCTGTAAGGGTGCCGGACCTAGATATGTGGTATGTGATCAACTGTAGCACTACTTTAACGGTAAGGGTGTGGGAGCTAGATATGTGGTATGCGATCAACTGTAGCACACGCTAGGGCTGTAAGGGGGCGGGAGCTAGATATGGGGTATGGGAGCAACTGTAGCACACGCTAGGGCTGTAAGGGAGCGGGAGCTAGATATGTGGGATGGGATGAACTGTAGCACACGCTAGGGCTGTAAGGGAGCAGGGGCTAGATATGTGGGATGTGATCAACTGTAGCACACGCTAGGGCTGTACGGGTGCGGGAACTAGATATGTGGTGTGTGATCAACTGTAGCACACGCTAGGGCTGTTAGGGAGCAGGGGCTAGATATGTGCTATGTGATCAACTGTAGGACACACTAGGGCTGTAAGGGTGCGGGAGCTAGATATGCGGTATGGGATGAACTGTAGCACACGCTAGGGCTGTAAGGGTGCAGGAGCTAGATATGTGGTATGTGATCAACTGTAGCACACGCTAGGGCTGTTAGGGAGCAGGGGCTAGATATGTGGTATGTGATCAACTGTAGGACACACTAGGGCTGTAAGGGTGCGGGACCTAGATATGTGGTATGTGATCAACTGTAGCACACGCTAGGGCTGTAAGGGGGCGGGGGCTAGATATGTGGTATGGGATCAACTGTAGCACACACTAGGGCTGTAAGGGGGCGGGAGCTAGATATGGGGTATGGGAGCAACTGTAGCACACGCTAGGGCTGTAAGGATGCGGGAGCTAGATATGTGGTGTGTGATCAAGGGCTGTTAGGGAGCAGGGGCTAGATATGTGCTATGTGATCAACTGTAGGACACACTAGGGCTGTAAGGGTGCCGGACCTAGATATGTGGTATGTGATCAACTGTAGGACACACTAGGGCTGTAAGGGTGCGGGAGCTAGATCTGTGGTATGTGATCAACTGTAGCACACACTAGGGCTGCAAGGGTGCGGGAGCTAGATATGCGGTGTGTGATCAACTGTAGCACCCGCTAGGGCTGTACGGGTGCGGGAGCTAGATATGTGGTGGGTGATCAACTGTAGCACACGCTAGGACTGTAAGGTTGTGGGACCTAGATATGTGGTATGTGATCAAGTGTAGCACACGCTAGGGCTGTAAGGGTGCAGGAGCTAGATATGTGGTATGTGATCAACTGAAGCACACGCTAGGGCTGTAAGGGTGCGGGACCTAGATATTTGGTGTGTGATCAACTGTAGCACACGCTAAGACTGTAAGGGTGCGGGAGCTAGATATGCGGTGTGTGATCAACTGTAGCACGCGCTAGGGCTGTACGGGTGCGGGAGCTAGATATGTGGTGGGTGATCAACTGTAGCACACGCTAGGACTGTAAGGGTGCGGGAGCTAGATCTGTGGTATATGATCAACTGTAGCACACGCTAGGACTGTAAGGGTGCGGGAGCTAGATCTGTGGTATATGATCAACTGTAGCACACGCTAGGACTGTAAGGTAGGGGTGCGGGAGCTAGATATGTGGTATGGGATGAACTGTAGCACACGCTAGGGCTGTAAGGGAGCAGGGGCGAGGTATGTGGTATGTGATCAACTGTAGCACACCCTAGGGCTGTAAGGGTGCGGGAGCTAGATATGAGGTATGTGATCAACTGTAGCACACGCTAGGACTGTAAGGGTGCGGGAGCTAGATCTGTGGTATATGATCAACTGTAGCACACGCTAGGACTGTAAGGTAGGGGTGCGGGAGCTAGATATGTGGTATGGGATGAACTGTAGCACACGCTAGGGCTGTAAGGGTGCGGGATATAGATATGTGGTGTGTGATCAACTGTAGCACACGCTAAGACTGTAAGGGTGCGAGAGCTAGATATGTGGTGTGTGATCAACTGTATCACCAGCTAGGGCTGTAAGGGTGCGGGACCTAGATATGTGGTATATGATCAACTGTAGCACACACTAGGGCTGTAAGGGGGCGGGAGCTAGATATGGGGTATGGGAGCAACTGTAGCACACGCTAGGGCTGTAAGGGTGGGGGAGCGAGATATGTGGTATGTGATCAACTGTAGCAGACGCTAGGGCTGTACGGGTGCGGGAGCTAGATATGTGGTGGGTGATCAACTGTAGCACACGCTAGGACTGTAAGGTTGTGGGACCTAGATATGTGGTATGTGATCAAGTGTAGCACACGCTAGGGCTGTAAGGGTGCTGGAGCTAGATATGTGGTATGGGATCAACTGTAGCACCCGCTAGGGATGTAAGGGTGCGGGAGCTAGATGTGTGGTGTGTGATCAACTGTAGCACACGCTAGGGCGGTATGTGATCAACTGTAGCACACGCTAGGTCTGTAAGGTGGCGGGAGCTAGATATGTGGTATGTGATCAGCACACGCTAGGGCTGTAAGGGTGCGGGATATAGATATGTGGTGTGTGATCAACTGTAGCACACGCTAGGGCTGTAGGGGTGCAGGAGCTAGATATGTGGTGTGTGATCAACTGTAGCACACGCTAGGACTGTAAGGTAGCGGGAGCTAGATATATGGTATGTGATCAACTGTAGCACACTCTAGGGCTGTAAGGGTGCGGGACCTAGATATGTAGTATGTGATCAACTGTAGCACACACTAGGGCTGTAAGGGTGCGGGACCTAGATATGTGGTATGTGATCAACTGTAGCACAAGCTAGGGCTGTAAGGGTGCGGGAGCTAGATATGGGGTGTGTGATCAACTGTAGCACACTCTAGGGCTGTAAGGGTGCGGGAGCTAGATATGTGGTATGTTATCAACTGTAGCACACGCTAGGGCTGTAAGGGTGCTGGAGCTAGATCTGTGGTATGGGATCAACTGTAGCACACACTAGGGCTGTAAGGGTGCGGGACCTAGATATGTGGTGGGTGATCAACTGTAGCACACGCTAGGGCTGTAAGGGGGAGGGAGCAGGGGCTAGATATGTGGTATGTGATCATCTGTAGCACACGCTAGGGCTGTAAGAGTGCGGGAGCTAGATATGGGGTATGTGATCAACTGTAGCACTCACTAGGGCTGTAAGGGTGCGAGAGTTAGATATGTGGTATGTGATCAACTGTAGCAGACGCTAGGGCTGTACTGGTGCGGGAGCTAGATATGTGGTGTGTGATCAACTCTAGCACACGCTAGGGCTGTAAGGGTGCGGGACCTAGATCTGTGGTGTGTGATCAACTGTAGCACACGCTAGGGCTGTAGGGGTGCAGGAGCTAGATATGTGGTGTGTGATCAACTGTAGCACCCGCTAGGGCTGTAAGGGTGCGGGAGCTAGATATGGGGTATGTGATCAACTGTAGCACTCACTAGGGCTGTAAGGGTGCGAGAGTTAGATATGTGGTATGTGATCAACTGTAGCAGACGCTAGGGCTGTACGGGTGCGGGAGCTAGATATGTGGTGTGTGATCAACTCTAGCACACGCTAGGGCTGTAAGGGTGCGGGAGCAGGGGCTAGAGATGTGATATGTGATCATCTGTAGCACACGCTAGGGGATATGTGGTATGGGATCAACTGTAGCACACGCTAGGGCTGTAAGGGTGCTGGAGCTAGATCTGTGGTATGGGATCAACTGTAGCACACACTAGGGCTGTAAGGGTGCGGGAGCTAGATATGGGGTGTGTGATCAACTGTAGCACACTCTAGGGCTGTAAGGGTGCGGGAGCTAGATATGTAGTATGTGATCAACTGTAGCACACCCTAGGGCTGTAAGGGTGCGGGAGCTAGATATGTAGTATGTGATCAACTGTAGCACACACTAGGGCTGTAAGGGTGCGGGAGCTAGATATGGGGTGTGTGATCAACTGTAGCACACTCTAGGGCTGTAAGGGTGCGGGACCTAGATATGTGGTGGGTGATCAACTGTAGCACACGCTAGGGCTGTAAGGGTGCAGGACCTAGATATGTGGTATGTGATCAACTGTAGCACAAGCTAGGGCTGTAAGGGTGCGGGAGCTAGATATGTGGTATGTGATCTACTGTAGCACACGCTAGGGCTGTAAGGGTGCGGGAGCAGGGGCTAGATATGTGATATGTGATCATCTGTAGCCCACGCTAGGGCTGTAAGAGTGCGGGAGCAGGGGCTAGATATGTGGCATGTGATCAACTGTAGCACACGCTAGGGCTGTAAGTGTGCGGGAGCTAGATATGTGGTATGTGATCAACTGTAGCACATGCTAGGGCTGTAAGGGTGTGGGAGCAGGGGCTAGATATGTGATATGTGATCATGTGTAGCACACGCTAGGGCTGTAAGAGTGCGGGAGCGGGGGCTAGATATGGGGTATGTGATCAACTGTAGCACATGCTAGGGCTGTAAGGGTGCGGGAGCAGGGGCTAGATATGTGATATGTGATCATCTGTAGCACACGCTAGGGCTGTAAGAGTGCGGGAGCAGGGGCTAGATATGTGGTATGTGATCAACTGTAGCACACGCTAGTGCTGTAAGGGTGCGGGAGCAGGGGCTATATATGTGGTATGTGATCAACTGTAGCACACGCTAGGGCTGTAAGGGAACAGGGGCTAGATCTGTGGTATGTGATCAACTGTAGCACACGCTAGGGCTGATGTTGAATATTTGCTATTTCATTATACGCCGGCGACTTCGTAATGTCCGTCCCGTCTTCCGTTCGGAGGGTGTCGGATTCAAATCTCAGTCTGGTCCTCTATGCATTTTTCCGCTCTTGCTACATTGGGGCGTGTGATCAACCATTCTTTCTGGATACTGGGTTAATGCTTAGCAAGGGGATACTCGAACTTTGGTTGCAAAAGTGTTGTTTTCATTGACGCATTTTTAGAAAAAGGAGGTAGGAATGTAGCGGAATTGAACTTTGACGATCGCCAGCGACCAGGTAGCTCAATTGGAAGAGCGGCTGTCTAGAGTTCGGGGGGGGGGGCGACATTTGAATCCCGGTCTGGCCTAGAATTATTACATACGTATATAAACAAAAACTTTGTATTTAATTGCAAAGGTGTGTAGTACCCACCTTGTTCGTTTCCACCAAACAGGATTACGTCTGATGGTGTCGTGTCAAAGTTAGGATTATTACTAGTTGTTAGTGTGAGGGGAATGATCCACCTGTACCTGTCGAGGTATAATCGGGTGTTAACGGTAGGGATACATACGTAATTTTAATATTTAGTACATTAAAAGTTTGAATAGAATCTTCATACATATATATATTATAATAAAATATATAATATATACAACAAAATTGTCTGGAAATAGTTACAATCGATTTAACAAACTACTAATTCTGAACAGAGAACAGGTAAACGAAGTGAAAACATTAATATAAAATCGAGTTTTTAACAAGCAACGTTTGGTCATCCACACCTCAAAACCAGTAAATACCATTTACTTAGCTTGTAATTACTATTTTCTGTATCAAATATATTGTTTGTTGTTTGAACTGTAAGCGTTTGTTTTTTAAAACGATGCTCATTCAAACATTTAATTTGTAAGAAGGNGGTTAAAAAAAAAAAAAAAAAAAAAAAGAGAAAAAAAATATATTTACCCGTATTTTGATGTAAAGCGACCAGGATCCTTGGCATCTGGGTTTCGTAGGTAGCGCTTTTGTGTGACCTTGACCTTTCCACCACCTATCCGGGTCATACTGACCACGGGGAAGTTCATTTGTAGAGTCCAGGTATCCATTATAGCTTTAACATCCACCGGATGACCATCCAACAAAGTTTGCTAAAAAAAAAAACAAAAAAAAAACGTTTTTTTCCCCCATTGTAGTTGTTTTTATCGCAGTGTGCAGTTGTTCCTTTTTTACTTAGTATAAACTTGAGAGGGCAGATATTGTCCGTGCCATATATTACCGATAGATTCGGGGATGACTTGTATTAATCTTAAAAAATACACGCTCGAAAGAGCATTAATATAATGTACAATATCATCCACTCCATCATACATCGTTTATGAAGAGTCCGGGAAGCAAACTTGCCCGAATCTTTTATATCATTCTTAGTGTGGGATCAGCCTTTTCACAAAAAGGAGGAGTTTCCGGAAAAACGATAATTGAAATTAACATAAAGGTTTATGTAACATGTAACAAATTTATTCATTGAATCATGTACACATAAATATTGATAAATACTTATGTCCGCTGGGATATACGCGTTGCATGTAAGGTTATCAAACATATATTTTATTATTAGTGTGTATTTACTGTGGCAAATCTGTTATGCAGAAAAAGTGTATGTCGGGCGTTCATTTCAGAAAAAAATTAAGGACCGATATCTGTTAAAATGTCCCTGATTCACCATCAAAACAGTAGAGGTTGGGATGTTATAAGCCACCAGAAAGAAAACAAACAGGGTACAACATTGAGATTCTCCTTCGGCTAATGTTTAACAAGTACATACTAATGAAATTTAAGGGGAGCATGTGTGATTACTATTGAATGAATATCACTTACGTTCCCCATAGCGTACCAGAGGTCCTCGTGAACCGCATTAGCGTAAGACGCGCGTTCGAGGTATTTCTGAAAAAAAGAAGAGATATATATCATCAAAGAGTTTTTGTTTGTTTTTGGTTTACGACTTATTAACAGCTATGGTCATTTAAGGACGTGCCAGGTCTTCATAGTTGAGGAAAGCCGGAATTACCGGAGAAAAACCACCGACCCACGGCAGCATACCGCAACGTTAACTTATATGTTAATATAATATTTTCCATTTTTATTTTACTGACCTTTATTCCTCGTTTAAACGTATCGTCTCCAATGAAAAATCTCATCATACGAATGATGCTGGCTCCCTAAAAATAAATCATTTGTATTTGTATCTTAAGGTCTGATATATTGGCACGTTGTGAGAGAAGAGGGTAGAATGTGAAACGTAGCTCTATGAATATCTCATCTTCGCTATTTAACGATATCGATCCAATATACGTAATGGAGGTAGGTTATTATAACTCTTATATGTATCAGAATAGAATCATCTGTTGCAATTATCTTTCTTACGGTTTTTTTAACACATATAAAACTTGGCAAAAAAATGTATACCGATAAAGTTTTCCTAATAATGATACATGAAGTATGTAGTTACTCTAATTCATCATGTAAATTGCCTTATAGGTTGTGTTACTATCCTAACACAACATAATTGAAATTTTGGCTGATTTTGATGAATACATATTAACGAATAAGCTTTAATTCAAAGTTGTTAGTGATACGCAAACTGAAAGTTACGTATAAAGTTTCAAAAAGAAATTATATAAAACAAAAAAACGAAATTACTGTTAAAACTACAAGCATCATGAAATTTTAGGATACAACATTTAATTTATAAAGACATTTATTAATAGAATGGATAAGGGAGAGGAATTTACGTTAGCACTGGGTCTTTTATAATTAGTCTAGAATTGAAAATATTGTTTCAAATAATTACCTTTGAGTATGAAATTTTATCGAAGATTTCGTTGATCTGCGCTGGGTTTTTCACGGGGGCGTACATCGGGTGGGAGGATATCAGACCATCGAAATCCATGGAATCCTGGAGTTCTTTAACCACGAACTGGTCAAACTGGGGAAACAAAACAGAACTTACTGTTATAAGCCATCATTTAAAAAAATATACCAAGAAAATATGAAATACCAGGGACATGCTGGGCTTCCAAGCTATGTGGATGCTCCTAGCTATCGAGATTATATTCTGATATCATGCACGCCAGCATGTGCATTTTAAATTCCAACCAGTGTTGCAATTCTGTAGTTTAAATGAAACTTTCTCTTGACATTCCATCTAAAATATTGATATATCAGATTATGAAAAACAACGTATTATTGCATATTTCTGTTAAGATTTTTATTGTATGGATTTATTCAGATGACAATATTTTTAATGGAACTCATTTAGTTATCGCTGCAATTTGTTTTTCAATTTTTCACTCAAATACTGTGTATCGGGACATGTTCGCCTAGTCAAACTTTTGCCCTCACCCATGAAATCAATTTTCGCCCTCCGTTAATTTCGCCTTTCAAATTTAATTACTATGTATGTTGTGTTGTTTACTTATATTGATATAATGATATGAATGCAGAAAAGGCGAAAATACAACTGCAGCGAAAGTTTCCCAGTTTATATTTATTTACCATTTTCCAATCGGGATGCATGTGATCTGCGCCAAGATGTTGGACGAACGTAGCGAAACCCTCGTTTAACCAGAGGTCATCCCACCAATTCATAGTCACAAGGTCACCAAACCACTGAAATAGTAACGGTTATCCAGTTAAAGAAAGTTCAGATTCGATTTTCAAAACATTAGCTTGATTTGAATATTTCAGTATTTAAATATTTCATATATTTCATTGTCATACGGGAATGTCATAAATATGGTACAACGCACGTGTAATAAAACCTACAGGTGCTGCGATTGGTCAAAACCGTGGGAGCATATTCCTACGCCACTACAGGTACTATTGTTATTTACTGTATCACATGATACATTTAGTGTTATCTTAAATGAAGTTGAAATGTTTGTGTTTTCTCGTTATTATCATTTTAATTGAATGTAAAACTGTTCATTATTATAACGAAAAACCTGGAACTACATTGCACTGCGATAAACAAAAATACAATAATTTGAGTACTTTGGTTTCGACCTAGAAAGAGTCAGCTTTTTGTTTCTGAAGTTTTTTCCGCAAAATATGAATGCTATGTGATAAATATGATAAATAGAATCTTACATTCGTGTCTATATTCCATATCTTATTTATTAAACTCGTTTGATAAATTCAGTATGATACGGACTCTCGTGTTAGATCCTTTATGTACCAACATGTAAATAACATAGTTAAAGAAAAAGTATAGGAATTAGGTAATAACACACGAGGTGTATTTCCTATGATTTACCTGATGTGCGAGTTCGTGTGTAATGGTTTCCGTTGTCCACTGTTTGTCTGAGGTAGAAGACACACCTTTCTTGTATAACATCGAATTCTCTCGGTATGTAATAAGTCCCCAGTTCTCCATAGCGCCCGCCGCAAAGTCCGGTATAGCGATCATGTCTAAAACAGGATTAATCATTAGAAACACGAAGAAGGAAGCTAATTTAATAAGTTTATACTGTACCATACGACCTATACATCCAATTAGGACTTGTATGTGGTATTAAAGGTCAAAACAATCCATATCAATAGTGTTAAAAAAATATTTAGACTTACAACAGTTATGTAAAATGTCTATAAAATACAACAATCTTTTAGTTAATTTGATATGATGAGCGGATAGGCCGTGCAGGTTTTATGAGTTATTTAAAAGGATGCAAAGTGTTCCGAAATTGTAGAAATGCAGGGTAATTGGGAAGGTGTCTGTCGCATACAATTTTGAAATCAGTTACTAGAATGAAAAGATATAAATCACATCGAATAAAGCACGAAGGAGATACTAATACTTTATATGACTGCATATAGAATTACTTGAACATTAGTTTAAACTACATTAAAAAAATGTTTACTAAGGTGTTCTTCTGCAGATTTAGTTAATTCACTTTGTCTATAATCACAATGAAACCTCAAATGAGAACATGTCTCATTCTTTATATAATTAACGTACCTTGTTTAGGCAAAGGAAACGCTATTCCAAAGAAATCCTCGTAAAATGTCAGTGTTTCTTTCCCGGTCTCCAATGCCATGTCGATCTGACTAACAGATTCAGGCCGGGCCCACGCTCCGTACTAAAAATCAATGATTAAGTACCTTACAAACAAATGTCTACAGTTCTGATCCCAGACTTCTAAACACAAAGAAAAAGTGGAATGAAAACAAAAGCATTAGTCATTTTATTTTTTGACTACATAACGAAAATCTGAAAGGCTTTAACTAGCATACTTTATTATACAACTTATTCAACTATGAATTTTAGTGACGGTAAAATGAACCTGAAAAACTTATATTAACCGAGGGAAAGCTAAGATCATAATGTTATATTTAGGTTCAAATCACATCATGTTTACCATCACAAAAGATCACAGGATCAAAACACTACGAATAAGTGGAATGGCAAAGGAGTAGGACATTCCTATACGTTGTATTTAGAAATTAATATGCATAGGAAAACCGATCTACATGTTTGTTTGAGATCTGGTCACGTGGACAGGGTAGTACAAAATGTTTGATGATATACATGTAAAGTGATTCCCCTAATTAACGTCTGTAATAAGTTTACATAGGAATAAATAACTTCACCGTCAATTACAGTGTTTACATTATCTTCTTATACAAATAACGGTTAAGGTCAAGGTTATACATGTCTAAATATATATAATAAAAAGGGATTAAATGTCCATGTGAAGGACACATATATATATATATATACATAAAGCGCTAGGGAAGTCAAAGAAACTCTTGTCTTATATTTATATATATATATATATAAATAATATAATGTAATGTGATTTGAGATTTGTAAACCTACCGTGATATTATGTTTCGTAGGTGCCGTTTTCCCCACGAAATCACTGATGACGAAGGCAAGTAAATATGTAGACATCTTTCTGGAAGTTTTATAGCGATCAGCCAGAAATCCGTTGGTTCTGTAAAATTATTATTTTCCCTGTCAGTACTGGTATGGACTTAAAGCATGAAACCAATAAACAGGAGAAGTCGTAGAAACGTTATAAACAAACGCATTGTCTTATTAATGACTAACAAATTAACAGTAAAGTACATATTTTTGTTTTAATGTTCATATCAATATGATATTGTATTTTTCACTTTCACACTTACAGAACGAAAATTTCTTTTTTTTCTATTCCATGTAACAACGTCATGGAAAAAAGTGGTTCTTATATATTTTGCTATGTTGCTATTTTTAAACATTATTGTATTATTCAAACGATATTTCAATGAATTATAGTTGAAAGGGTTACGGCGACATTAAGTGTCGTATATGTATTAAGGTAGGTGTTATGTCAGGCACTTGAAGTGTAACACGTGATAACGGTACTGTACTATATCAAATAAATATCATTACTGCAATCATCATAATCTCAATCATCATCAACAACAATTTTATCATTTTTATCATCATCAGCATCATCATCATCATTAACAACATCATCAGCATCATCATCATCATCATTAACAACATCAACAACATCATCATCATCATCATCGTTATCATCATCTGGAAGGAACAGCTTACCTATTCTCTGTACTTTGCTTGGGCATGTTTGATAAGGACATCAGATGGGGTTTTCGTAACAATGTCACTTGGAATGTTGCTTTCATGGCAGGTTCGTCAAAACAGGGGAACGCCTTCCTAGCGTCAGTGGGTTCCATCTGTGTTGTAGCCAGGTAGCTGTCATAAAGCAAACACACAAAAGCTAATCAGGTTCCAATAAAAGGTCAAGACAACAGGTAGATCAGTTTTACTAATTTCTATCTCATGTATTACGTTACTTACACGGTCTTATATCCCCTAACGTAAGACATAGGATATAAAATTAGTAACATTGTCGTCCTTCCTCATGCGTAAGAACAAGGATAGAGTTTTATATTGTCTTATTCCCAATGACGTAAAAAAAAATAAAACTAAAACAGAGAGCAACTCTTAATCTATTTACACTTCGAGTACCGACATGATCCGACATACCATTTTATATGATCTAAGGATGAGAGTAACCCTTACCCTACACTTAGTTCCGACATGATCCGACATACCATTCTATATGGTCTAAGGTTGAGAGTAACCCTTTACCCTACACTAAGTTCCGACATGATCCGACATACCATTCTATATGATCTAAGGTTGAGAGTAACCCTAACCCTACACTAAGTTCCGACATGATCTGATATCCCATTCATGTATGATGTAAGGTTGAGAGTAACCCTAACCCTACACTAAGTTCCGAGATGATCTGATATCCCATTCAAGTATGATCTAAGGTTGAGAGTAACCCTTTACCCTACACTAAGTTCCGACGTGATCCGACATACCATTCTATATGATCTAAGGTTGAGAGTAACCCTTTACCCTACACTTATTTCCGACATGATCCGACATACCATTCTAGATGATCTAAGGTTGAGAGTAACCCTTACCCTATACTTAGTTCCGACATGATCCGACATACCATTCTATATGATCTAAGATTGGGAGTAACCCTAACCCTACACTTAGTTCCAACATGATCTGATATCCCATTCAAGTATGATCTAAGGTTGAGAGTAACCCTAACCCTACACTAAGTTCCGACATGATCTGATATCCCATTCAAGTATGATGTAAGGTTGAGAGTAACCCTAACCCTACACTTAGTTCCGACATGATCTGATATCCCATTCAAGTATGATCTAGGTTGAGAGTAACCCTTACCCTACACTTAGTTCCGACATGATCTGACATACCATTCAAGTAAGAACTAAGATTGAGAGTAACCCTAACCCTAATGTCAGTACTTACATGGTCTTATTTCCTCTGGTGTAAGAACTAAGATAGAGTCCAGTCATGTCATCTTTAAGTGGTCCATCGAAATCCATCGATAGAACATATTTCGTGCTTGCCGTAAGGTTTGTATAGACAATCAAAAATTGTCTTTCTTCGTCATAACCTATCCTGGAGACACTTATACTTCTCTGTCCCTGTCCCTCCTCAGTCACCTTCACGCTTGTCTCCTTTATTTTCAGCTTGTTGATGTGGAGCGTGATGTTGTCAGTGGATACAGTACAATCCACGTGGATTTTAACGTTGCCGTAGAAACGAAAAGTGGACGGATCGACGCCGTACATATCGGGTTTGAGTTCGAGTTCGTAATGTTTCGGTATGACACTACGAGGCAGACGTACGTCTTTAACAATAACTGGTTCTATTGAAGTGGATACTCTCTGCAGCCATGCTTTTATTGTGTTGAAATTTTTTTCCATAAACTTTTGCTGGTTTTTGGTGTTTTCGACAGCTTGTGAGAAGGCCGTTGATCCCGTCCCAAGATCGGGGTGAGTGTCAATAAACGTCCTGAGCTGAAAACAAACACATGCGAGTTAGTCCGATGATTCAATATGTAAAGAGTTATATTACTATTTATGAATACATTATTTTGGCGTACCGACTATCAATTGTAACGGCGGCATTAAAAGAACCCATCCTCAAACTACCACCGTTTTCGAAAATGAAATCATAGTGGAGCTAATAATATACCTAGATACAAAACATGATGTAACTTGATTAGTATTTCAGTAACCGTTATGAACTAATCAAACCCTCGGTCTAATCAGTCAATCTGCTTAATCAAAATAATAATTTAATTTGCTATGTAAATATACTTGTTTGACTATTGACATATCATGCCGCCATTTTACTTTCGTTTTACCTTTATTTCATTAACGTACTAATAATATACAACATTTATATAGCGCCCTATCTAATTTGTAAAATTACTCTAAAGCGCTTTACAACACATGGATAATAGTATTAGTTATTATTGTGAATCAAAAACAAAGGCTTACAATCAAACAAATGAAGGGTGGCTTTTACATGACGTTTTTGCAAAAAGCAAAAGGCAAAAAAATACCTAATTGTTCTAGCGAAAATGTATTAACGCATAACGACGAATCGGTTTCATTGCTATTTTCTGTCACTATGTCTATCTATAACAAAATGACTAGCCCAACCCCTCCCCCTCCTTTAGCCAATCAGAGAACGTGGCGGTCATCTTGGATTGCCGTAAGGTCTATGTTTAAAATACAAGAATACAGTTATATGTATATATATGAGTTATTATCATCTAGCCCATTCTATCTAGCACATACAACGTTATAAAAAGAGAAATTTGAACTAACTATATTCATGGAATTTATACAATGCAACCTATACTAAGATTTCATAATTGAATACACTAATTATTACGTAAAACTATCCTTATTTATTATTAGACTTGCAATGTATCAGTCATACTTATTCCGTTATACGAGGTACATGTCGATTACGTGTTTACATTGAATTATAACTGTGACAATACATATATTAACGTGTTAAATGATTTCTGTCCCAATGCATAAACACAGTATCTTTTATTTATGTTCCGGTATAACTAGTGTCGGCAAGGACAGAAAATAGCTTATCAGTTAGCTAAGCTGTTCAGAGTGAACGCCTGTGATCAGAGGTACTGGGTCCAAATCTCGGCCTGGCCCGGTGCAATTTCACTCTCAGGACTCTGTCATTTGTTGCTTTGTTTCATTTTGATCACTTTTGAAAAAAAAATCCGCGAGGTACGGATATTTTACAAATGATTTATTAAAATCGTCTATATACAGGCAAAACGTTTGAAATTCATAGTTAAATGTTTGGCACTGGCACGAAATCCTTGAACACTTCATGTTTAGAGCAGGTTATAGAAAAGCTTATGTAAGCAAGGTAATTTTATCACTTACCCCCGCTTTTCTTTTCTTGAAAACGAATTGATTTTCGTTCACAGTCAATATTTTGAAATTTCAATTGAATATTCTTAAGACTTGAGTTATATATAGCTTATAAATAAAGTAACTTTCATTGGAAATTTGCAATTCTTTTTCTGAAAATAAATAGGAGGAAGTGGTTGCGAAAATGAATTATCTATTATATTCTACTATAGAGGAATGGGATATATTTATTAATCTAGCAAAACAAAACAAAATCACAAGCAAGTTTTTTACTGCATAAATAACTTAAATGTTAATACACACATTTTATTTGGATTTTCCTTTCATCTCATTTGAATGAATGTTTTAATGATATTGAATCATATCTCAAAAAAAATATTGAACAAGAAATCAAACTGGGTTTGCTTTAGATATGTCAGCCATCCATTTGGTATAATGTCTTCGTGAATGAATGTTGATTTAAAAGAGTTGAGTTATTGCGAAAGCAAATCAAAATGTTCAAAGTCATTGTTAAAACACTTCATAATGAATTTGAGATCCTCTGAGTATAAACTGATTCAGTAAAAGCGTTTTGTTAAGTGTTGATAATGCTATTTTATACGCAATCATTATAAATGTTTGATTATATATAATTGGTTTTCCGATATTTTACAGGTGTTTGAAAAAAATATCAGCTAACCGACTTTGCTAATTTTTGCAAATGAATTGTGAATCACTGTTCTATATGCTATTGGAAAAGCAAACCGTTTCACAAAACATCAATAATAAAATTAAAACTATAACACAATTACACACAACCATTTGAAGATTGAAACTCTACAGCAAAAATACACTTACCTTTTTAAGCTCGGTTTCAGTATTGAATGACTTTGTTAACGATGTAACGAGTTTGTCGAATGAAAACCACGCTCCACCAAAACTTGTGAATAATAAACACAGAAAGTCAATAATCTGCTAAGATATTATAAATATATATATACATAAATAAATAAATCGAAAATTTAAAAATGAAGCCTTTTTTTGTAAAGAGATCGAAAGACTCTAAATTTGCCTCGTTATAATAAATATATACATCAAAAGCCATTATATACACACAAGTAAGTGTGAATAACACAACACCGAAGCTTGTAAGTAAATAAACACAACGAATTATTTTAATTATATATATCTTAAGTAGTTTATACAGAAACAAATTAAAGTAAAACTTCATATTTGTAACATTTCGAATTTTGTTTTCAATATAATTACACAAACTGTTTTCTTCTTCCCTTCCTTAAATGATAATTTTGTGGCGTGTTTTAAATTTTAATAATAGATATTTTTGATTACCCGATCGGTCGTGAAAAGGTAAGGGAATACCTGCCCGACCAAGTGGGTTTTCTCCGGGTACTCCGATTCTTCCCACATTTAGATCCCCACCCCCGCGCTAACATCCGGGCCAACAAGAGTAAAAGTTAAAATAAATTGTTTCATAGTTGTTGTAAAATAAATAAAGTTAATAATAGACATTATTATTGAACAAACACCATATCGTCGTATTTTACCTGGCTCTGAGATATTTCCAGTTCTCCACCATGAACTCCCAGGCCATAGAGTTACCTATCTGGTTGTCCGACACGTGTATTATTACAGTCAATGTGTCCTGACTCCGTACATAAGTGGAATTCAACGCCATGTTCAGGTAGCTGTATAAACATAAGGTTCACCGTTATAACTGTTGTAGTTTTAAGCAGCAATTTGACACTTTTATTACAATCACTAAATATCGAATCACATATTTGAAAAGAGAGTAAGTCGTTAAATGCAGAACCCCAGAGAAATCAATCATTATTTTACTACACAATATGTCCTTCCCGTCCATGTCCATCTAGGACTTAGCAGTGGTACTAAACGCCAAAAGAATAAACATCCATGTCAAAAGTGTTTCAGACCATATGTGACAATACAGCAAATGGGGGAAGTGTTAACCAACCCCTTTATGACATTGCAGACAGTGTTATGTTGTTACGCCAAACGTGTAGAAAAGGGTTGAATGTATAAAACATAACACAAGATATGTTTATAATCATTCAGAAAAAATAAGAACATCGAAGGAATGCTTATGATTATCTTCGGTTAGATCATATGTGAGAATAGTATTACTTTTCGCCACATTTGGGTTGGCTTATTCGTGCTCTGTCCAACTATTAAACCCAGTTTTCTGATAACCTTACTCTAGACATAATTTCTGCAAAACATCAAACTTATCCATTATGGTCTATTGAATTAACAAAAATTCCACCCCTTGTTTCCGGGGTCTGGATACTTACAGTCTCAGTATCCATGGTTCCCTGGAACATGCCAACGTTCTTTGTATCAACGCTATCTGAGCTACATCAATGGTCTTTGTCAGTTGTTCTAGAGCAAAGTTCCAAGGTTCCCAGCCTCCGTCTGCTATTGCTGTACAGTAAACGGATTCCTGGACATCAGGGGGAATACTGAAAATACATGTTACCTTTTTATGATACACACTTCCTTTTAAAAGCGCTTTACACTAGGAAAAAAACCTAAAACAAAACGTTTGTATGGTGTTGAATCGTGATGTTTTAACTCTTGTATAACTCCAGACTCACAAAGCTCTACTTGTAAAATGTGCAACAGGACAGATATATAATGTGTCTACATGTCATGTTTCGAGATAAAAATCAAAAACAAAAACAAAAAAACAATTGCAATAAAAAGAAAATATTTCATATATTTTTCTTAATCTTTTTCTTTTTTTCTTAATTCTATTTCTAAGAAAGTCTTTCTTCTGTTGTTCAGATATCATTTTATTGCACTAGTGTTTTCATTAACCTCATAACAATATTTGCTAGATAAAAACCCATGGAATTGATAAGAAATTGCAATTAATTATAACCATATCGTCATTTAATAACAAAACTAAAACGGTCTAAGAAAATTTGAAAATTCACCGCCGAAATTATTAATGAAATTATTAATGATACATGATTTCTCATTAGGATTTTCTCTTTTAAAATATATCAAACGATATCGACAACCTTTGACAATTAGAATCAAACCTTACATAACAAATTACTAAAATGAAATGTTTACGTCAATAAAAACAGTGTCTAGCTTTTGGAGTCTTTACCGTTGCCTTATACGAGATGTTATAATCTGAAGAAAAAGGTACATATAAGACTTTTTTACTCTTACACCAAGAGAAGTTAATACAGTTTCGCATTGAATTAACCCTTATCACTACATAGTTACGGGTTAGTACTTAATTACAGTTGTGCAGTGTACTAACCCTACTTACTACAGACTTACGGGTTAGTACTTATCTAAATTTCCCTATTGTATTTACCCTAATCATTACAGACTTACGGGTTATTATCAGGGTCGTCCATCCACGTCTGGTATAAACTCTTCGAGTCTTCCACGCATGCCTCCACCCCATAGCTACATGCTGTGGCTACGATCTGAGACCTAAACAAGCTTTATTGATAAAACAGAAAATAAAATAATTAATGTTAAGTCGAACGTTGTGGCAATGCACGGGACTCACTGAATGGTCAATAGGGTTACATTTTTGTAATGTGATACGCTTTAATAAATTTCATATATATTTAATTTAACAAAACTTTATTCCTATTTGCAGAATAAATTTTATTTAAAACCCAGGAATCATTGATTAGTTTTTCTGCTCGTATGCAATTGTGAATTATATAAGATGTCATTTTTTTCTTTACAAATCCTTATATAAGCACTACCAGTAAATCTGCATTTGTAGTGATACGAAAGTGATTGGATACGTGTCACGTTCACGATTCTACTCTCACCTCCCATAACGTTGCAAAGATATTAAGAAGAAGATACGCGACTTCAGGTGTTGTTTTTACCGACAACACAAAAATTTCACTTTTGCAAAAAATGAATGAATGTTAAATGCATTACCCCAATAATAATCTATAAATATATGAATGTAAATACATGTACTTAACAGGTTTAAAAAATCGTACGAATTAAAATAGACTATATCCATATTTCTTTAGAAGCCAATATGTATTCAAATTTCGTTTAATCCCTTCATAACAAATACCTTACGAAATGATAATATATATATTAAGGATTAGTTACGGTAAACACTGAACTGACAAATACAACTTTTCCTGTATCCTGATCTACTTACGATTCCATGTGCGTTGAGTCTGGTTTGTGTAGCTTGATCTTTTCGTACGGTTGTGTCACTTTCTTTTTCATGAAGCTCTGTTATGCATCAGACAATAAAAATTAATAAAAATTAAAAAAAAAGAATATCGAAATTTCAATAAAACCATAATTTGAACTCAAAATCAATAAAACCATAATTTGAACTCAAAATCAATAAAACCATAATTTGAACTCAAAATCAATAAAACCATGTCAAAATATGAACAAATTAAAGATCTACAAGGAGACACTGGTGAAAGGACAAGAAGATGTACGATAAAAGGATAACCTAAAGACAACATGTCAGTGAATCCAATTAGGACTAATTACAGGTTTTAAAGGTCAAGAGAAGTAAATTCCATATCCAATTTAGATTAAGGTATTCTGGTTGACCAGCATTATTTCAGAAAAAGTGTAGACAGGGGATCTTCAACATTCTAGCCACCTTTTTCTCAAGCAAAAAGTTATAAAAGATGAATAGATTAGTGGGACAATTTTGTACTGCAAAATGTAAGTTTGTCCCAGCAAACCCTAGCTAGATAATAGGACAACAAAGTTAAAGATGGATTAACGAGGACAACTAGCTTAATAATGACTTGAACACTATTAGTGAAGACAACCAGATTGGCAGCTGCTGGATGTGAAATGACAACCAGATTAGCAGAGAACGGATTAACGCCAGAGTATTAATGGCTGGATTAGTTTGTTTTTAGATGCAGAAAGTCGAATATTTTACAGTACGAAAGGCCATAACACTCAAATTACCTGAAATTGACCATATGCGTCCGTCTTTGACAACATCGTATCCAAAAACTTAAGTTGTTGCTTTGCTGTCACCCAGACGACGTACTCCATTTCCTGATTCAGATATTCGAGAGCTTCTAGAGGTATCTCAATGTTTAGCTGATCAGATCTGTAAATCAAAACATACCATTGATTTTAACTGTTAATCTCGAAATCGAAAGCTTAATTCACACTTGAATTGCAATATTTCTTTTGCTTCGGTTTGTACAAACACAGAAGTTCACTAAAACTGCGAAATTTTGACGAAGTGATGTTGCGCAAATACAATTCGATCTGGAAAACCGCGACTTATTAGTCCGATGAAATTAAACACCTCTACAGTATTCCGTCTTTTCGTACTGCAGAGTTATCTGCTCTTGTGAGCAGGTATTGATTGTTACGTCATTGGTTTATGAGAGTAACGTCATCATTTTTTGGTAAAACGACGTAATTCTCTCCCACAAACCAATGACGTAACAATCAATACCTACTCACAAGAGAAGATAACTCTGCAATACGCAAAGACGGAATTGTCAGGAGGTACTCACCTTGCCAGATTCCAGGCGTCGTCAATAATCTGCCCTCTGTTGATGGTGGATATCGCCTACAACATAAGGTATAACACATATATAGAATCTGATCTCTGCAGGTGATTGGTGTCGCCTACAACATAAGGTATAATACATATATAGAATCTGATCTCCGCAGGTGATTGGTGTCGCCTACAGCATAAGGTATAACACATATATAGAATCTGATCTCTGCAGGTGATTGGTGTCGCTTACAACATAAGGTATAACACATATATAGAATCTGATCTCTGCAAAATAAATCAATGTTAGGATTACATCTCTGTTGTATACAAGTTAAGTTATGGAAATGCTTAAGCAGGATTTGACTTCTGTTGTTGATTGCTTTGCCTACAACATAAGTTAATTTATGAAAATATATGTAGAATCTGATATATATTGATAGTTGCTACCGCTTGCAAAATAAATCCATTTTTGACATTTGTAAAATCTTATCAGTGTTGATGAAGGGTATTGAATAAAATGTTTCGTCGATAATACCAGGCATATGTTTTGTTGCATCACAAAACAATAAGAATGCAGCGTATATATATGTATATATATTAAGGTTTGTAATGGCAAAGCAAAATGTCAAATACCAGCGATAGTAGTAAAAAATTCGGGACAATAGCTTTGTTTGTCTGTGTTCTTCTGTGTACAAGAGACATGAGTATAATATTCAAAACAACAAGAGAATACCGAGGTGTCAACAAAACCATTAATCGAACTCTAAATCGATAAAACTACGGCACAATATGAACAAAGGAAAGATTTACATTGAAACCCTTGAAAAAGGACAATGAGAATAAGACCAGGTAAGCGTATTCTGCTTCCTCACCGACACCCACTATTAATATCTAATGACCAGACAATATCCGTACCTTGTGATTGCTTTGTACCACTGACAGTGATAAACATATAACAAGAATGGACCTGTACCCTGTGATTGCTTTGTACCACTGACAGTGCTAAACATATAACAAGAATGGACCTTTACCCTGTGATTGCTTTGTACCACTGACAGTGATAAACATATAACAAGAATTGACCTGTAACATGTGATTGCTTTGTACCACTGACAGTGCTAAACATATAACAAGAATGGACCTGTACCCTGTGATTGCTTTGTACCACTGACAGTGCTAAAACATACAACAAGACAGGACCTGTACCTTGTGATCTGTCTTGAGTTGTTTGACGAGTGCTCTCCAGTTATTGTCCTCATAAGTAACCCTGTAGACGCCGTATTGTTGTAGGTTTCCTATTACCCAGCTGTCTTTGTCTGAGGGGCTGGGCAATCTTGGGTCCGTTATATCTGTGAAAAATAACAAGAGTATACCGAAATGCCAGCAAAATCGCAATAAGAACACAGGACTAGGACAAACCTTCAACAAAGGGATAACATGGAGAACTATACAAATGTTGGAGAATAAATCCAGGTACTACGGAGAGCTATGTGTCTGCTGCTTTGTTTGCGATACCCGCCTTGTCAGTCAAGGTCAAATCAAAGTAAGTAGCATAACGTCCTCAAAACAAGAACTGCGGTAGTGACAACGAAACATACTAGTACCAGACATACTAGTACTAAACATCCTCCCCAACGTTTCTGATTTTAGTTAACCACGTTATATGTTCTACAACCAGCACAAATGTAAACCTATGTAATGGAAAGAGAGAAAGTATTGGCCGAGCGATTGAAAAGAATGTATGGAAGATGGGTTATTTTTATGATTGTCATTTTTTTCACGAAGTTCATTGTAGTTTGTTTGGTAAAACTCAATCAAAATAGATTTAACAAATATTTTGACAAAAAATATATGGAATTCTCGTTAAGCAAATATATGTCATTTTCCTTGCTTAAAGCTTGTTTTTACTTCAGGAAAAAAACAAGGTTACTCAAGCATTAAAATGATTAAATTATCTGTTGAGGAATCAAAAATTGATGACCGATTCTTTCAGAATAGCGTAAATCGCACTGAACGGAATGAAATAAAAGAAATGTACATTAAGCTTCAATCATAAGTACGATTTATTAATAACCGGAGTTTGTCTGTAACCCTAAACTTTGAATTTCAACACGCCTGAAAGTTTCTATTATGCAATGTGAGGAAATCTTACCTTTAGTTTTGCCATCTAACCATGTAATACTGGTCCCGTCCTTGTCGAAATCAAATTCTTTACTTGATGTGTATGAAAATGGGATTTTCCAAATATATCTGAAAAATATAATTTAGAAAATAATCTATGAAGCCTAATGTTCTTCCGAACACAATCCAAAACCTTTTTAGTTGACATTGGAATCTGGATCAGAAAATACCAATCCTCCGCAGGTCATTTCATTAAAAGCCAAAGCCTTCCGAAGATGACCGGAAATGGTTAAAATATTCCAATGAGGAGTTTGAAATCGTCAACACACTGAAAAAAGGTAATTCTCATATTTAAAACGTATCGTCAAGGTATCGTTATCATAGTATGTAATTAGTATATTTATATGTAATAATGGAAGGTCGGTTGCAGAATCGTTACTTATTTACATTCAAGAGATAATAGCAAATATTGTGAATTGTCTTATACCTCCCATATCCTGCGTTGAAAAAAACCCATATACAAACAAAGAATTTACCCAAATGTTGAGTTGTATTTGTCAGGTACAGTGGAATGTTTGTCCATCAGGAAACGCTTTTGCTCCATTTTGAGTTTCCCGCCTTCAGACCTTGTTACCATAACAACGGGATAATTCATCTGTAGGATCCACGTGTCCATGATTTCTTTTACGGTGAATGGCAATTTTTTTCCATCCTTTGTTGCTTGCTGATGAAAACAAACATTTGTGTAATAAAAGAAATATCTTGATAGTTCTGATATTTACGTATTTAAGCGAATATGTTAGATCTTACCATGTTTTCATAAGAAATTTGCTGTAGTTAATGATACAAATGATGTTTAATTAAAAATAACCCAGATTTGAACTTTGTCCATATATATAACAATCATGCCCCAATTTAAACAGTTATTTGTAAATTAAAACCAGGGAATAGGAAAGTGTATCTAAATGAAATTATTCATCTCTAACGAAACATTGAAATATCACAGAGCATGTAAACCCTCTTGATATCTTAAATACATATTGTCTTCGTTTCTTACCTCGTTCATCTTGTTGAACAAAATGTTATGTTCTGCAACACCGTATTTTAAGTCGTTGAGGTATGTCTACAATCAAATCAGAAAACAATGTCTACAATCAAATCAGAAAACAATGTCTACAAAAGATTTTTTTCATATTAATGTTATATAACTGGAAAATAGTGCCTCAAAAGTATGATTTTTAAAATATACTCCCTTACACATTATTATTGTTGATAATAGAATTGAAGTGATACTGCATCACAACTAAATGCGATTGATTTTAGAGTGATCTCCCTTAATTACTACTGCTAAAAAAAATCAATTACGCGTGGAGTTCTTTTATGAGGCAGATACATTTCACAATAAAGCAGGGTTATATGTATCAGTAAAACCTACAGGGACCTTACCGTGAGTGCGGTATCAAAGGTGTCTCCTCCCAGGAAATGTCGCATCATACGGATAACTGAACCTCCCTTTAAAAACAATATATTACTGATCACTTTACGTCCGACAAATATTAGCAAGTACATTCATTATTCTTTACATAAACCTCACTTTTTACTCAATCAAACTGTAGTACATTCATGGTATTACGTACAGTTGTTATTGAAAAGAAAGTCCAATCTATAGATTTTACCTTTTAGATATATATGTTTAAATAGTCAATATCATTTCGAAATATAACAATAATGTGTGTGGGTATTTTTTATTTATTTTTCAATAATAGTGATTTTTCTGCTATCAACGGAATTAGGTACATTGTTCACTTTCAATGAAAATTAAGTATCATTAACATTATTATAAATCTATTTTTTTATCAAAGTAGATTATGGTGAATAGCTATCTTAACCTCCTATGACATGTGCCTTTGCGAAAGTGTAGTCTACTTAACATTTGCTTGCACATATTATTGAAATACTTATCTTTGAGGAAGATATCCGGTCGAATATTTCGCTGATTTGTACTGACAGAAATACTTACCTTTGAAAGAAATCCGTTCGCATACTTCTCCAATCTGTACCGGGGTACTGACAGAAATACTAACCTTTGGAAAGATATCCAGTGGAATATCTTACCGATCTGTACCGGGGTACTGACAGAAATACTTACCTTTGAAAGAAATCCGTTCGCATACTTCTCCAATCTGTACCGGGGTACTGACAGAAATACTAACCTTTGGAAAGATATCCAGTGGAATATCTTACCGATCTGTACCGGGGTACTGACAGAAATACTTACCTTTGAAAGAAATCCGTTCGCATACTTCTCCAATCTGTACCGGGGTACTGACAGAAATACTAACCTTTGGAAAGATATCCAGTGGAATATCTTACCGATCTGTACCGGGGTACTGACAGAAATACTTACCTTTGAAAGAAATCCGTTCGCATACTTCGCCAATCTGTACCGGGGTACTGACAGAAATACTAACCTTTGGAAAGATATCCAGTGGAATATATTACCGATCTGTACCGGGGTACTGACAGAAATACTTACCTTCGAGTAAGATATCCGGTGGAATATTTTGCTGATCTGTACCGGGGTACTGACAGAAATACTTACCTTTGAGTAAGATATCCGGTGGAATATCTTACCGATCTATATCGGGGAACTGACAGAAATATGTACCTTCGAGTAAGATAGCCGGTCGAATATTTCGCCGATCTGTACCGGGGTACTGACAGAAATACTTACCTATGAGTAAGATATCCGGTGGAATATTTTGCTGATCTGTACCGGGGTACTGACAGAAATACTTACCTTTGAGTAAGATATCCGGTGGATTAGTTCACCGATTCGTACCGGGGTACTGACAGAAATACCTAACTTTGAGTAAGACAGCCGTTGGAATAATTCGCTGATCTGTACCGGGGTTCTCACAGAAATACTTACCTTTGAGTAAGATATCCGGTGGAATAGTTCACCGATTCGTACCGGGGTACTGACAGAAATATCTTACCTCGAGTAAAATATCCGTTGGAATATTTTGCTGATCTGTACCGGGGTACTGACAGAAATACTAACATTTGAATAAGATATCCGGTCGAATATTTCGTCGATCTGTACTGGGGTACCGACAGAAATACTTACCTTTGAGTAAAACATCCGGTGGAATATTTCGCTGATCTGTACCGGGGTACTGACAGAAATATTTACCTTTGAGTAAGATATCCGGTGGAATAGTTCACCGATTCGTACCGGGGTACTGACAGAAATACCTAACTTTGAGTAAGATATCCGGTGGAATATTTCGCCGATCTGTACCGGGGTACTGACAGAAATACTTACCTTTGAATAAGATATCCGGTGGAATATTTCGCCGATCTGTACCGGGGTACTGACAGAAATACTTACCTTTGAGGAAGATATCCGGTCGAATATTTCGCCGATCTGTACCGGGGTACCGACAGAAATACTAACATTTGAGTAAGATATCCGGTCGAATATTTCGCCGATCTGTACCGGGGTACCGACAGAAATACTAACATTTGAGTAAGATATCCGGTCGAATATTTCGCCGATCTGTACCGGGGTACTGACAGAAATACTCACCTTTGAGTAAGATATCCGGTCGAATATTTCGCCGATCTGTACCGGGGTACTGACAGAAATACTCACCTTTGAGTAAGATATCCGGTCGAATATTTCGCCGATCTGTACCGGGGTACTGACAGAAATACTCACCTTTGAGTAAGATATCCGGTCGAATATTTCGCCGATCTGTACCGGGGTACTGACAGAAATACTCACCTTTGAGTAAGATATCCGGTCGAATATTTCGCCGATCTGTACCGGGGTACTGACAGGAACGTAGATGGGGTGGGAGGTGCGATGCCCATCAAAATCAAAAGCATCATACAAGTCTCCGACTGTGAACTGGTCAAACTGTTATAAATAATAGAGAACAGTGGTATGATGCTATAGGAACTACTAGTAGAGAACAGTGGTATTATGTTATAGGAACTACTAGTAGAGAACAGAACAGTGGTATTATGTAATAGGTCGAATATTTCGCCGATCTGTACCGGGGAAATGACAGGAACGTAGATGGGGTGGGAGGTGCGTTGCCCATCAAAATCAAAAGCATCATACAAGTCTCCGACTGTGAACTGGTCAAACTTTTATAAATAATAGAGAACAGTGGTATTAAGTTATAGGAACTACTAGAAGAGAACAGAGGTATTATGTTATAGGTACTACTAGTAGAGAACATTGGTATTATGTTATAGGTACTACTAGTAGAGAACAATGGTATTATGTTATAGGGACTACTAGTAGAGAACATTGGTATTATGTTATAGGGACTACTAGTAGAGAACAGTGGTATTATTTATAGGGACTATTAGTAGAGAACAGTGGTATTATGTTATAGGAACTACTAGTAGAGAACAGTGGTATTATGTGATAGGGACTACTAGTAGAGAACAGTGGTATTATGTTATAGAAACTACTAGTAGAGAACAGAACAGTGGTAGTATGTTATAGGGACTACTAGTAGAGAACAGTGGTATTATGTAATAGGAACTACTAATAGAGAACAGTGGTATTAAGTTATAGGAACTACTAGTGGAGAACAGTGGTATTATGTTATAGGGACTACTAGTAGAGAACAGAGGTATTATGGTATAGGAACTACTAGTAGAGAACAGTGGTATTAAGTTATAGGAACTACTAGTGGAGAACAGTGGTATTATGTTATAGGGACTAGTAGTAGAGAACAGTGGTATTATGTTATAGAAACTACTAGTAGAGAACAGGACAGTGGTATTATGTTATAGGGACTACTAGTAGAGACCAGTGGTATTATGTAATAGGAACTACTAATAGAGAACAGTGGTATTAACTTATAGGAACTACTAGTAGAGAACAGTGGTATTATGTGATAGGGACTACTAGTAGAGAACAGTGGTATTATGTTTTAGGAACTACTAGTAGAGAACAGTGGTATTATGTGATAGGGACTACTAGTAGAGAACAGTATTATTTATAGGGACTATTAGTAGAGAACAGTGGAATTATGTTATAGGAACTACTAGTAGAGAACAGTGGGATTATGTTATAGGGACTACTAGTAGAGAACAGTGGTATTATGGTATAGGAACTACTAGTAGAGAACAGTGGTATTAAGTTATAGGAACTACTAGTAGAGAACAGTGGTATTAAGTTATAGGAACTACTAGTAGAGAACAGCGGTATTATGTTATAGGGACTACTAGTAGAGAACAATGGTATTATGTTATAGGGACTACTAGTAGAGAATAGTGGTATTATGTTATAGGAACTACTAGTAGAGAACAGTGGAATTATGTTATAGGAACTACTAGTAGAGAACAGTGGGATTATGTTATAGGAACTACTAGTAGAGAACAGTGTTATTATGTTATAGGAACTACTAGTAGAGAACAGTGGGATTATGTTATAGGAACTACTAGTAGAGAACAGTGGGATTATGTTATAGGAACTACTAGTAGAGAACAGTGTTATTATGTTATAGGAACTACTAGTAGAGAACAGTGTTATTATGTTATAGGAACTACTAGTAGAGAACAGGGGTATTATGTTATAGGGACTACTAGTAGAGAACAGTGGAATTATGTTATAGGAACTACTAGTAGAGAACAGTGTTATTATGTTATAGGAACTACTAGTAGAGAACAGTGGGATTATGTTATAGGGACTACTAGTAGAGAACAGTGGAATTATGTTATAGGAACTACTAGTAGAGAACAGTGTTATTATGTTATAGGAACTACTAGTAGAGAACAGTGGGATTATGTTATAGGAACTACTAGTAGAGAACAGTGGGATTATGTTATAGGGACTACTAGTAGAGAACAGTGGTATTATGTAATAGGAACTACTAATAGAGAACAGTGGCAGTGGTATTATGTTATAGGGACTACTAGTAGAGAACAGTGGTATTATGTAATAGGAACTACTAATAGAGAACAGTGGTATTAAGTTATAGGAACTACTAGTAGAGAACAGTGGTATTATGTTATAGGGACTACTAGTAGAGAACAGTGATATTATGTTATAGGAACTACTAGTGGAGAACAGTGGTATTATGTTATAGGGACTACTAGTGGAGAACAGTGGTATTATGTTATAGGGACTACTAGTTGAAGCTTTAAACCTGTTTTCCAATCACTCTGAAATTGTCAGTATGCAATCAATATGTTGGGTTATTGATTCAAAAATTATATTAATACTACACAATTTTGATTAAAATACTTTATATTAATACTACACAATTTTGTGTTATATCTGTTTTGAGTAATTTATGTATCTAATTATGATACCTAAAATGTCTTTTAAATACCTTTTTTATAATTTGTAGTTATCATGCTATTAGATAAAATCCATTGATATTTTTGAGGATTATTTACGATTAAGTGACCAATAAGAAATGATTGTTTTTGTTGTATGATACAGTAAACAGCCTACATTTTTAGTGAACATTATATATCTGATGATAATCACAAGAAACCACCAAGATATCCATTACCTATACCAAAGTCTTGATTGCAGACCAATATTAAGCAAATAATGAGTAAATATTTACTGCACAATATGGCCAGGTAACATTGCATACCTAATCATCTCAAAAATAAAAATAAAAAATATCAATATAGTTTGATAAATATTAAAGGAAGCATAACACGGTGGCTTAACACTGTAAACAAATATATTGAAATGCAATGATGAACGCATAGATGTTTGCTCTTGCGAATGAAATAGGTGCGTGAATGAATGTAAGAATTGTTAATGTTATTAATAAAGATAATGTTATAAAATGTATGGAGAACGAATCTCTTCCTACAAGTGGGCAGTTTAGTAAGAATGCTGAATCCAGGGCCCCAACCCTGGCAGCACTTCAACAAACGTGAAGCTGGAAAATTAAAATATTTTAACCAGAAAAAAAAGTATCAAAAAATGTAAAAAAAAAAAAAGAATAAGTCTCCCAGAATCAGTTTTGTTTATCATTAACTACAAAACAACTGTGAATTAAAACTTCAGTATGATTATGTGGTAATAGGATTTGGTTATCATCAATGCATTTATGTACAAGTATTATCTGGCAACTAACAATGTATTTATGTATTGGTATAATCTGGATATTAACAATGAATGTTTGTGTTAGTATAATCTAGTTACTAACAATGTATGTTTGTGTTAGTATAATCTAGTTACTTACAATGTATTTTTTGTGTTAGTATAACCTAGTTACTTACAATGTTCCAGTCGGGATGGGAGAAGTTTGTTCCCACGTACTCCATATAGGTGGCGAAACCTTCATTCAGCCATAGGTCGTCCCACCACTGCATAGTGACAAGGTCACCGAACCACTACAGGTAAAACATTAAGCAATTTAACAAGGCAAGCATCAATGACCAAAGGTATAATATCAATGTTATAAAATAAGTAGATCGCTGTAGGTAAAACAAAAGGATAAAAAACAGTGTTACAATGGCTAACTGTTTAACAATGTCAGCAAATCACAGCAAGTCAAAGATAAAAACTTGCAAAAATGTCACCAAAACGTTTCAAAAAGTTACAATAGAGTGGATTTTTAACGGAGTATATTTAATTCGTTGTTTGCTATTTCTTCCAATTTTTGGAATTGATTGTTTAATCATTCATATCATTATTAGATTAACTGACCTGGTGCGAAAGCTCATGCGCGATGACCTTTGTGACCTTTTGTTTTGTGTATTCAGAGTTTGTTTTGGGATTATACAACATGGCTTCCTCGCGGTATGTCACTAGTCCCCAATTCTCCATACCTCCCAGGGGGTAGTCAGGAATGGCGATCATATCTGTAACGGAGATCACAACAAGGTGCATGATGGGTAATAACTATACAAAGCAAACTTTTGTACTACATCATAAGTGACGGTCACATCTGTAACGGAGGTCACAGCAAGGTGCGTGATGGGTAATAATTATACAATGCAGACATCTGTTTTAACATTGTTTCCGAGATAATGTCATTCGTAGTGTATCGCGTGATGTAACAACAATCAAAATTAGCCATTTATTACATGTTTAAAAGATGACCTTCATATTCGATTCATTTTCAAAATGTGTTAGGTAATCAAACATGTTTAACAACACGTTACTTCGTGTGTTTTACAGGTCACAGGCGTTACCTGGTAGTATCACACGATGATGATGATAAAAACAGTATATGCCTTTACAGGTCACAGGCGTTACCTGGTAGTATCACGCGATGATGATGATAAGAACAGTAAATGCCTTTACAGGTAAAATATAACTTAAAATCAGTTTAAAAGCAATTTAAGTAATTGTTTTGAGTTCTTATATTATTTGTGCTTCGTTTGTAAGTCTTTAATGAAGTCGCAAAGCAATTAGTCATATGCCGACGGTTTCAACTGATCACGTGATCAATTATGTCGCCACTGCACTGAATTACTGCATTATATATACAGGATATATCCATATATAGGATGTCAAATACGCCCTGTTTCAATACTATCAATACGTGGTGTCAATAATAATAATAATTCGAGGTTCTTAAAGTCGTCTCAAAGCAGTAAACGAATTAGTATCCGTGGTTATAGGGTCTTTGCAACCAGCCATTATCTTTCTCAATTCCCTGGGGAGCATACAGCCGGTGCTGCCATTTCGGCGCTCACAGCTAGCATTCAACAATTCTAGCACTGCCTAACCGCTTACTCATTTACAGCTGAGTAGACTGGAACAAGCGGAGTAAAGTATATACAACATAGTGCCGTGACGTGACTCGAACCCACAAACCTTCGGTCACGAGCCCGGCGTCCTACCACTAGACCACCGTGCCTCCTTAACTGGTGACGAGACTAATGTATAGTACTGCAGCACTGAAATACCCTATCATAGAGTGTAAACATTAAATAATATGTTCCATTAGTCCTTGTTATATCATAGAGGGTAAACATTAAATAATATGTTCCATTAGTCCTTGTTATATCATAGAGTGTAAACATTAAATAATATGTTCCATTAGTCCTTGTTATATTAAAGTTGTCATATAACCTGTATCAGACACATTCATTAAAGCTGAAGATATTCAAACCAACGTAACACATTACTATTACAGTGTTACAGATGAAATATATAACTCTGAACGTGTACCAATCCCATTCTGTCAAAGTAGCAACTACATGTAAAATATCAAATATTTTATTCTTTTTTTTTTCAGAACAGTTATTAAACTTTGCAAATCACTCAAAGAAACCTTCAATCAACAATCGTGTTTTGTTTACGGGATATCTATTTATAGATTTGTCACTTAACCAACCTTGTTTCTTCAATGGAAAAGGTATTCCGAACAGCTGTTCGTAGTAGGTGATGATGTTAATACCCAGTCGTAGGGCCTCCTGGGTGTAGGGGACGGACTCGGGCTTGGCCCAGGCACCATACTGTATTGTAAAAAATACAATATTTCATTGATCAAGAGCCAAATGTTCATTACAGGCCGTATAGTATTAGTTTGTAGTAACAGTAACACAATTCAGAAATTTATCATAGAAATTTTTCAGAAGGTGATATTAAATATTGTATACCGGGCAATTTTAACTTATTTCGCCCGCCGTAATGAGGGCTAGAATAAGTAAACAACATAGTATGCATTGTAAATAAATGTAAAGGCGTAATTAACACTGGGTGAATATGGATTTGTTTTGGCGAAGGGTGAAAGTTTGATTGGGCGAAAATATCCTGGTATACAGTAAATACAACATAAGTTTCATTTTTCATATTTCATTTGTCTATCAGCACAAATTTTTGACTGTTCTGGTGAAAAATAAATGAACGAGATAGTCATATGTTCAGTGAATGTTACCTCGATAAACATACAGGAATTTGTCAAACTGACAGATAAAACGCTAAAATGCAGACAAAATGACCGACAGACACATAGGGGAAAACCGATGAATGGAAAAGAATATCAGGAGTTATCAATATTGGAATAAAACGGTCAAATTTAAAGTGTGGATATAAACATTGAAAACTTTTACAAAAAGAAACGGACGAAAGGAAAAGTCGAAAGGGAAACACGATAAACTTTCTTGATGTTTTATGAAAAGTTTTTTTTTTTTATCAATTTATTTTTCCAACAGTTTTTCATAATATAGGTACAGAACAGGTATTTTCATTTTCACACTCTCTAACACACATTTTGACACTTAATTCACTTATCATCAACATCATCCTGAATGTTGTCTTCATCTTCCTCATCACCATCATCATCATCCTCACATTCATCATCATCATCATCACCATTATCATCTTCCTCATTCTCAGAATCATCAACATCATCATCATCATCATCCTCACAATCATCATCATCCTCACAATCATCAACATCATCAACATCATCATCAGCATCACTATCTCATCAGCATCCTGATCCTAAACGTTCAAACTATCGTTCCTCATAGCCATCATCATCATCCTCAACGTCATTGTCATCTGAATGAAAAGGGTTTTTTACACAACCAATAAGAGTTTCTATGCGACGTTCCGATGACTAGGACGGTATGTACTCTGTCACCTTCATCAGACAAATGGCCAGTAAAGCATATGCACACAAGGGTGTAAAATGTGTACGAGTTGTCAAAAAACTCGGTTATTGGTTGTGTAAAAAGAACCTTTCATAATCCATACTTACCAACCTGAAGAAAATGTTTAGAAATATCTCGATGTTGTATAGAAAAGTGCAGAACTCTGGGTCAAACGGTAGAACACAATATAATCCATAAAAACACACACAGAGAAAAGAATGGACAGAAAAGCCAACTGAACGACTCGACAACATACCTCGATATCGTGTTGAGTCCTCCCGCTCGAGTTACCGAACTTGGATACGACAAACGCCACAAGGTAAGTCGACATAGGCAAGGTTGGTGCAAACATGTCGGCCTTCATACCATTCCTAGAACAGAACAATGTCTTTGTTGGAAATGTTCTCTCATAGTGTTATAATCATACCAGCAGACATGTGGACATCTGCGTGTTTTTAAATATTCGTATTATAGAGTTTATTAGGTCCATTACACTCTATCGATTGAGTTGTGAGGATGTGACGACCTGTATCAGCTGTAAACATAAAATGTTTATATGTATTGAGCAAGATTTCAGTTTTTATAAAAAAAAAAAAAGCAAAGTCGCACACGCCTGTATGGTTAAGTTGATTACGAAAAACATAGTTAGATTTATATTTTAATTTTTATAAATGTAAAATATCCGATATATTCTAACATCAGCTTTTGTTTGATATCTTTTGTAATTAAACTAGTGATATAATCCCTTTTTTTGCTTCTTTTAGAAAGAAAATTATGTGAAAATAGCTCCAAAGACCTAATTCAGAATGATCGAATCGGCAGTGTACTGGACTTGTTTATGTGTCTATAACATACTAAATATATGCATATACATGTATGAGTGTGAGGGTGCAATAATTACGTTGACAAATACCTGTTTACAACTGTATTTATATCAATGTATATATTATATCTATAATAATGTTAATAATGTAACTTGGCAATTCTTCTTTATATTGTATGAGTTGATTGCTTTGTCATGGATGTGTAGGCATGAAAACACATTTTATCGGAGAATTATTTCTCGAACTTAAACCTATTTTACAGACTAATTCTGTCTTATTTCAAGAACAGAATACAAAAAAGATTGTTACTTTCTGTGACAGGTATTTGTGGAGGCTAACATATAACACATATCCACACTGATAAGAATAAGGTAGTCTGTCCCATTATTGGCACCTCAATCTTACATAACTGTGACCTGAGCAACTATCAGAGTATGACGTTTACTCTACATTCGACATTGATAATCAATGTTCTTTATCCCTTAGGCATTGTGGCCTATACGTTGCGAATACAACAAAAATATGAACGATATATACAAACGGAGAGTTTATTATTTTATTTTATTGAATGCCAAATGTACAAACTTTCCCATTTTATTTAGTACTTTAACATTGTTTACACTTAAAAGCTGAACCAGCTTGAATACACTAGGTTTTCGATAATAATATTTCTTAATATATGTTTCACGTAAATCTGAATAAAATGGACATATAAGTAAAAAATGGAATTCATCTTCAATTTCGGCTAAATTGCAGCATGTACACATTCTGTCATGTCTCGAACTATTATTATGTCTACATTTCTCTATGTAATAATGATACTCATATGGCATCCCTCAGGCCTGGACATGTATAGTGATATATCCCCGTTACCTGTCTTCGGTAGAGTCAATCGGTGAATTGGACAGCGAGTGCCAACCAGTTTGACGAAGTACTGTAATCTTGAAGATGGCTTTGAATCCTGGTTCGTCAAAACATGGGAACGCCTTTCTAGCATCAGTGGGTTGAAACTGCGTCGTTGCCAGGTACCTGAATATAGTATCCAAATAAGTATTTAATGACGCTGGAATGAAATTATTGAAAAAATCATTAACAGACATTTGAGGAATATCTGTCACAAAAGGACCCCCTTACCACTGACAAAAACTGAATGCACCGAAAACCGATACTGCCGGCATGACTATAGCTTTGATAAATCATATCTTAAAAAAAACCTTCAACTTAGGGTACTTTTATGAAAAAAATAAGATATGAAATAAATATGAAAATTGTCTGTCGCAATAATAGCTCTCAAGAGCCAGTGTTACATGTTAATATGTATGCGACTTTAAATAAAGCTTCGTGTATCCTGTATCTTGTATTGTTATACCATCGCTCCAACCGACTGAGCTGCCTCGCCAACGGAAGTGTTCGGGCCAAACAGTGCTACTACAGTTATATCTGAACGGAAGTTAACGAAAGGTTACCGTATATACGTGAAAAACACAGTGCAATGTGACAGAGATCTTAACTGGCTAATACAATCACAGTGACTAGGATCCGGTTGTTTTTAAATCTAATTACATGTACATCAATCGAAAAGATAACACTGAATGTTGATAGTATTAGTCAAAGTAAACACGAGTGAAGTTAATTTGCCAAATACTATCTACGAATTTCAACAAATACTAAATTAATTATTCTTGTACATCTCTTGATATTTTCAAATAAGCTAAATATTTTTTATTAAATAAATAGCATAAACTTTTTCCCGTAAAGTGATTATATGTTTCGCCTTAAAGATATGTTTCCGGACCCATCAATTGGTAAGGTATCATACCTGGTGACGCCGTCTTGTTCGTAAGAGCTAAGGTATAGTCCAGCAAGGTCCTTCTTCAAAGGCCCGGTGAATTTAATTGACAGATGATAAAAACTGTCAGCAAGCATATTTTTATTCAATGTAAATGTCAACAGCTGTTGGGTCTCATCTTCACTCATATTGTCGATTTTTATGTCTTCCGGGGCCACCTCGGGTCTCAGGGTAGTTTTGTCTATTATGAGCTTCTTGGAATGTATGATTATTTTGTCCGTTGCCGTTTTACATTTTATCTTAATATCCACACTACCGTCAAACGTGAACTGATCCGGATCTGGGCCATACATGTGAGGAGTCATCACAAGGTCGTACTCAGCAGGCACAATCGTTTTCGGGAGTCTGATGAATTCCACCTGTGGTGCTGGCGTTTGGTGGCTCACAGGTGGCGCTGCGGTGGTCATGTGAGGTGGACAGGTGGAATGTGGACAAGCCTGACCTACAAATGCACAAGTTATATTTAATGTTTCCACAGTAGTCCATACTTAGAATCATCATTACCCTGAAATCTTAACATTATGGTATTAACTCATTACCCATTGAAAATTTCATAATGAACTATTCCAACCTTTGAATTGGAAGAGTTCAAATGAATCTTCAGGGGTGACACCACCGTGTTGCAATAGACTCCAGCACTATCGTCATATCAACAGACCCAGGAATAAGATATGAACACCCTCTTTACACCTACACACGTATGTCTGCTACCAAAGACACACACAAATACTCGTTTTTCCAAACACCATCACAAAATGGTACCTCCAATTGGTAGCAGCAGTACATAAATATATATTCATTTTCATCCTCTTTTATCTTAAATACCACAAAACTAGTAAAAAGAAAGAAATCACTGTATATATCGTTTTACACAATACAGTCCAACAAACATGGTATTTACATTATTCTTCTGCAAGGTTAACGACGCAAGTAACCAATTAGAGAATTCGGTACGATGGCCGATTATAAGAGATATAACACTTTGTTCTGGAAAAGACGCACGTCTTTGGATCAAGAATATTTTCCTTTTGAAGCGATTTTTGACGCCAATAATCGCCCCGATATTGCAAGAATATACTTGGAGAAGGTTCGCTTGTGCTAAATTTGTCTAATTTGCTTTTTTATCATTTCTTAAGCTTCTTTACACTGATTTGTTGAATTATTGAAACGACGAAGAAATCTACCCACCGTTACCACCATTAGACGGTGACGTCATATACAACGTCCGATCTGCTTGAAAGACCAATGTCTGTACATTTTTATCACAGACACTTAAAGGGACTTACTCACGAAAAATAATACTAGCAGTTAAACAAGTTATTAACAAGACATGGGTAGATTTATTCAGATACTGGGTAAGACATGTGTGATCACAGTCAAAGACGATATTCACAAACTGTGGTAGAATACCCGGAAACAACAATAGATAAATATTGCAAATATTTTGGACTAGTTGGAATTGATAAAAATCAAGATTAAATTATTGACTATTGAAAAAGGAAGATACAAAAATACAAAGGATAACACAATCAGAGAAATGGAGAATAATATAATATGCCCTTTAGAACAAAATTCTGTCTCAGGTGAACGAATACAGGTGTTAGAAAAAAACATCAAAGACCCTAATGGTAGCAACACGAGTACGGCAAGAGCAAGAAAATTTTTAATCAGCTGCTTATTTCTTTCAATTACTTAAACAAGAACTTAATGCTGAGAACAAACGTTGGTACCATATAAAAACAGAAGATAGAATTTACAAGAGATGCATCAGAATATCCTCCAAGAACAGACAAATTGTTTTTAGAAGCTTTTCAAATCAGAGCGATGGATTAAGAAATATCTAACGAAATTTATAGAAAATAGAATAGGTGATGAAGCAAAATGAAAAGTTGAAAGAAAAATAGAACATGAAGAAATATACAATGCAGTAAGATCATTGACAAGTAATAGATCACCTGGAAAAGATTGCTATTGGATTTAAGTGTTTTAGATCATGCAATATCATGTACAATTAGTATTGAAACAAATGATTTCACTTCTAAGTACTTCCCTGTATTAATGTGAGCGCGTCAGGGATGCCCGATGGTACCCATAATGGACATATATCAAGCAGAACCGTTTGATTGTACAATTTGAGCCCACCAAGACATAAAAGGGATAAAACTACCAGATCAAAATATCAAAATACTTAATAGATTTGATGATCATCATCAACATGTAAACAGGACAGAGGAATCAATTAAAAACACTTTTGATCTTTTCAAAATATATCAAAAAGCATCAGGCTCGAAACCTAACTTTGATAACTCTGGTGATGTCGTGTCATTATGACTATGGTTATAAAATAAAACTGTTCGAAATGATACAGTACTTTAAATAGAGCAAAGGTTTAATGGAATGTGTAACGGCAAGAATTCACGTCTTTCCCTTGTCCTTTGAACTTGCACTTTTCGTGCAAACAGGAAAGTTGTGGTTGACAATGTACAAGTGGTTCTTCCCATGCTGTGTGGTTACGTTACCGAATGAAAAGTGTATTGTTAAGTAAAACCGCGACTATTTCTTACATTTGGTTTACACTTAAACCAAATTCCTCTTTATGTGTATATTTTCCCCTGTTATTATTAAGAGGTGTCGTGAGAAGCTTTAAAGCTATGGGTGTAATCGTGAGTGAGATAGCCTTTGCCGAAAACCTGTTTAGAAACAAAACGATTTATTTCGCTGAAAAACATCTGTAGGATATGGCGTGACGCTGCCATGATAAGGGACAACGGGTTTGAAGGGTCATTACTGACATCATCAGGGATTTAGCATTAGTTGTTATATTCATCATCTGGACTAAATGTGGTACACAAATATGAAATTTCAAATCCACACGACAACAGTCACTGGTGTAGGATATATGGTATAACAAAGACAGGTATTTAAATATCTATCGTTGTTATACCGTCTTTGCGTATTGCAGAGTTATCTTCTCTTGGGAGCAGGTATTGATTGTTACGTNGAGAAAATTACGTCGTTTTCTCAAAAATTGATGACGTTACTCTCACAAACCAGTGACGTAACAATCAATACCTGCTCCCAAGAGAAGATAACTCTGCAATACGCAAAGACGGAATACCATATATCCTACACCAGTTGTCGTTTGAATATGGAAGTACACAAATGTGTTAGGTTGGTATCGACCATTGTACACCTGCCATGCTGTCACTATGATGACATTTGTGTGTAAATCAAACAGATGAGAATGGACAGACGATACTGGTTTGTTACTTTAGATTCGTGTCGTTGGTTTCTCCCTAGTTTCCACATTCCGATGACCTCAGATATTGCGAGGGCGTTAAAACATATACAAAAACAAACCAAAAATCAAACCGACGATACTGTTTGGTTTGCTTGTGTCTATGTAATGGAAGTGTGGACAATGACATGATCCCTCTGAATATCTTAAACGGTTTAGAATCAACACTGAAACAGGAATTCTATCAGACTTATATATGTAATCTAGTTGTGGCTTTCACGTGTAGATTGTGTCTACAAAACATCTATTAAGACAGAAACATGAACAATCAAATATCACAATATATAACATAGAGATAAACAGCCGCCATGAAACGATCTTACATCACAAAAAACATAACATAAAACCAGGTATTTATTTCAGATATCATATATAAAAGAATGTTTATTTCACAGCAAATGCCATCTCCTCTTTTATTGGCTTTATAACATTGATATTTATCCAGACAATATCACAATCACAACGTGTAACACAGAAATAAACAGTCGCCATGAAATAATATTACATGAAAAGTACATAACATAAAACCAGACAAGAAGAGGAGGCTTAACGTTAAAAATAGTCTTACGCATTAAGAAATGCCATGCAACCAAAATGAGATAAGCAATATGCCAAGTACAAAAGGCAATCAGCTGAGCTTTCAGACATGAGCATATTCTTAACCTCTTCAGAATGTTTATGCGTACGACTCCAGGTATTGGTTTTAGATATCATATATAATAGAGAGTTTATCTAATGTATCACAACAAAGCCCCCCCCCCCCCCTTTATTTATTTTTAAATTGGTTTTATTTTATTTATATCAACCCAGACAACAGTGAAGGCTAGAGTTGACAAGATGATAGTTTACAAAAACCTTTTATTATAAAGAGAATATATAGAAATTATTATCCATTCATACATTTGTTTATTCTTGACGTGTTCAGTCAATCAATCAATCAAGCGATCCATCAATCATTCATCAAATTCTCATTTACTACATAAAGAATCTTTCATACATCCTTCTCTTTAATTTCAATATTCATCAAAAGTCATAATGCCATTTAAATTTGGCGAAATAGTCCTTTGCCATGAAAAGGTGCAAAACCCCTTAGTCGTTATTAAAAGTATCTGTATTTACTTATCATTATTGGCGCGTTAAACAACACTCATAATCTGGTTGGTTTCGACTATTTTCATGAAATAAGGTAAAGATTTTGTAATGATCACAAAATAGCTAATTGAATTAAGTGTATTCATAATAGGTTTTATTATTTGTAATAGGTTTAACATTTTCACATGAAATACGTGTCTACACTCGACGGAGGAGACAACTGTCCCTTTTTGTGTAAAATGATACATTATGTTTGTTAAAAATGTGCCTGAATATCTGGCAGATGACCAAACTCTTAACTATTTTTAATACTTTTCGAGACATTTAGTCATCCTCAAATATATTCATTGGAGGAACTTACCAATCCCATACAAAAAAGTTCTATTCATAGATTTGGCAGAGGGCATGGGAAAAATGTTTTACTTAAAATGTAAATTTTGCTGGTTTTTTGATAGTCAAATGATACGTGTAGTTTCACTTTCCATTAAAGTACACGGCTATGTGATACATTAAGAGCTATGAATATATGTTTAACAACCTGACTACAGGATACAAATCAAATAGCTCGTCCAGTGCACATGTTTATAAGACATTATTAGTCGGAGGTATAGTACGCATCTGTGTTTGCAAATATCATTCTTTTGTCATTATGTTTTTTTAAGGATCGTTGTTCCACTGCCAAAAATTTGATTTTGAAACTGACCTTTCTGTCAGGACTATAACTTTGTAATATTACCTTTCTAAAAATTAAAGCATACCTTGCTAGACGTTTATGAAAAACAATGAAAATAACTAAGCAAAAATAATCAACAACAGTGTTCTAGTGAAAAAGAAAAAAATAGGCGTGACCTGACGAGGATTCGAACCCCTTGACCTCAAGTTGTGATACTGTCGCCCTACCTTGACAACAGAAGTACCGTGGCCAAACTGTGCTACGGTTATCTACAAAACGAATGGGAGAGCAGGGATCCTTTAATTCCGTACAAGGTTGTTTAGCATGTAACCACACGTTCCATAACAAAAGAAACATCCACACTTAGTCCGCATTCGAA